TTTATAATGTGTCTTTTTTTCTTTTGAATTATAAAACTTTAAAATCTTATAGCACTGAAAATTTCTTTCAAATAATTAGAAAAATTATATCTTGATATCTATTAAACTGTGTTTCAAAAAAGAAGTTAACTATAGAGAATCTCAACTTTGTGGTCTTTTATTTTTATTGTTTGCAGGAGAAGGAGTGATGGGGACAATTGCTTCTGGTTGTCCTGAGACTTATGAGGATATTGAAATATCAGGAAGTGGAGGAGGAGGAGGAGGAGGAGGCCAGCCTCGACGTCTAGAGGACATGCACCAGAAGTTGGAGAACTTCCGGCGAGGAGATGTGTTTGCTTCGCTTGCTGGAGTTTCACAGTGGTGGTATAACCGTGGTGATTCCGATGTCGTCATTGTAATCGTTCTTGATGTCACTAACAGAGAAAACCAGCTTGACCAAGTCCCTAGGGTAATTATCAACCTTAAGAAATTCCAAATTTATATTGCATGCAAACTTTACTACGGCTACCACAATATTAACAAAGAGAGACTGAGAGAGTGATTACTAATACTATGTATAACACATTATGTATGTATTAATTTTGTAAATCATTCATATGAAGATGTTCCAACTAGCCGGGAGCAGAACGGAAGAACAACAACAACCATTAAACTGGCCATCAGGGAACAATGCTTTCAGCGGTTTCGACGCAAACATAATCGCGGAAGCATTCAAAATCGACATCGAGACAGCTAAGCAGCTGCAGAACCAGAAGGACAACAGAGGAAACATAGTCCGAGCGAACGGTCCGCTCCATTTCGTCATCCCACCTCCACGACAATGGCAGCAAGATGGCATTGCTAATGGCATCGAAGAGACTTATTGCACGGCTAGGATTCATGAGAATATTGACGATCCAGAACGGTCCGACCTTTTTAGCACACGAGCCGGAAGAATCAGCACTCTTAACAGCCTTAATCTCCCCGTTCTACGTCAAGTCAGACTTAACGCCGTTAGAGGATATCTCTACAGCGTATGTATCCCCCTCTTAAAATCAATTTTAGATTCGGTTCGGTTAATTCTAGCGTTCAGGTTATTTTGCTGGTATACAAAATTTAATTTATTCCCAAGTAATGACTAATTTTTGTGCTATATATATATAAAAATCTGTGCCATGTAATTGGATTTCGTGGATATAGGGAGGAATGGTGTTGCCACAGTGGACCGCAAATGCGCACACGGTGCTATACGTGACAGGTGGTCAAGCCAAGATACAAGTGGTGGACGACAATGGTCAGTCCGTGTTCAACGAGCAAGTGGGACAAGGTCAACTACTTGTGATTCCACAGGGCTTTGCGGTTGTGAAAACCGCTGGAGAAACGGGTTTCGAGTGGATATCGTTCAAGACCAATGATCACGCTTACATTAACACGCTCAGCGGCCAGACATCGTACTTAAGAGGAGTTCCCTTGGATGTGGTCAAAGCCTCGTATGGAGTGAACGAGGAAGATGCCAAGAGGATCAAATTCAGTCAGCAAGAGGCAATGTTGTCTATGACACCTAGCTCTTCCTCTTGAGCATACGCGTTTGCTTTGTTTTTCCTTCCTATGATGTTATAATTAGTTTTTTTTCCAGTCAATGAAATAAATAAATATGTGTGACTAGTAGTAACTAAGTTTCAATGACAATAAGTTAGTTACTACAAAGCGGTTGATGGAAAAACAATTACAGAATGTTAAAATAATCAACCTTTTCATTATTACAATAACATCTATACACGACCACAGATTAATGAAGTGAGGTAAACACAAATTTCCAGATTAAAAATTCCAGTCACATACACATCTTAGCTTTTATGATTACGTTGATTATAGAGAGTGCATTAATTTTTATATTTTTTTCAAAGGATAATGGTAACGAAAATAAATAATAAAAAAGTAGTATGTAGAAGTAAAAAAACAAGGTTCCGGTCTGGTCTCGTAAAAAGCATTCAAAGTCCGCAACGATCACACACGTCTTTCTCCGAAACTCGTCTGAGATTTGGCAGATTTCGATCGATGTCGTTCGAGGAAGAAGAGGAGGAGGAGTCGTTCGAGCACACACTTCTGGTGGTGCGTGAGGTTTCCATCTACAAGATCCCGCCGCGAACCACATCCGGCGGTTACAAGTGCGGCGAATGGCTTCAATCCGACAAGATCTGGTCTGGTAGACTCCGCGTCGTATCGTGCAAGGATCGGTGCGAGATCCGCCTCGAGGATTCGAACTCCGGCGATCTATTCGCGGCCTGTTTCGTGGATCCTGGACGGAGAGAGAACTCCGTCGAGCCGTCGCTCGATTCGTCTAGGTATTTCGTTCTCAGGATCGATGACGGGAGAGGGAAGTATGCGTTTATCGGGCTAGGATTCGCCGAGAGGAACGAAGCGTTTGATTTCAATGTCGCGTTGTCGGATCATGAAAAGTACGTTAGGAGGGAGAAAGAGAAGGAGACTGGGGAAACGAGTGAGAGCGATAATCATATCGATATCCATCCCGCCGTTAATCACAGACTCAAGGTAAACTCATCTTCTCCTAAGCTTATAGGAATTCAGATTCGATATCAATGCGTTTATCTGATTGAACCTATCCAGATCTAAGGAACTATCAAATCCAGTCTAGAATTGATTGATTCTCAATTACAACTGTCATTATCTGGTTGTGTCCATGATTTCTGAGAGTGGTCTTTTGGTTTTGCTGAGTTCGTGATCGTATTTGTTTATCTCCGTAATTCATAACTCTCCATCTTACCATTTCAAGGAAGGTGAAACCATAAGAATCAACGTGAAACCAAAACCAACAACAAATGGCACTGGGATGCTCTCAGCTGCACTTTCAGGAACCGGGAAGCCAAAACCACTGGCACTTGCGCCACCTCCCAAAGCTGCTGGAATAACCAGGTCGCCTTTACCGCCTCCTCCAAACGATCCCGTCGCCTCAAGGATTGCATCTGATGGCTGCAAAGAATCAATTGATAACACAAGACGCAGGAACGAGCCTCTGTCTGATCTATCTCAGCTTAAGGTAAAAACAAAAACTTGTCTTCTTAATTGCATTCTTCTTCTCTTAGTTCACTCTCAATTATGATTGATATTTTGGTAATACTCTGTAGAAGAATCTACCTTCAACGGTGGGATCAGGATCGAGCAAGTCAACAGGAGCTGCGTCAGGTTGGGCAGCTTTCTAAGCAATGGAGTGTAAAATTTAAGTTCTTGGACAAGTCCGGCTTCATCTTCTTGTCACCTGAGAGCGCGAGACAATAGCCAACAGTCTTTTTGATGTATGTTACTGGTAAGTTTGATGTGTGTTTCTTTGTAATCCCATACACTCCCTGTTTTATTTTTTCTTTCTTCCTTATTATCATCTTTGTTACATTATCAAATTATCACTAATCATATTATCATGTGGATGACTGAAATATTAATATATCAAAAGAGGATTTTTCACAAGTTCATCTTTGTTTCTACGTACAGTCTATGTCATAAACGGAAGAAAACTAAATGCTGGATCTATTTGCTATATCTATATTAGTAAAAGAGAAGTACAAAAATGAAATGGGCGGGTCAATTAAAAAAATTACTCAAAATTACCCGATTCGGAATACATGGATACTTAGATTATTGGATCTTAATTTGGGTATGGATATAACCCATTAATAAATAATTTCGAAAATATTTAAAATAAATATTCCAGTATTTTAGGAAACTTATTAAATAGAAATGATACAGTTCTATATTTTATGAAACTATCTCTATATTAGTAAAAGAGAAGTACAAAATAGAATACGGGTCGGGTCAAAATTAAAAAGTTAACCCGATTTCAACAATTGAATACTTCAAAAGTGGATATTAAATTGGGTTTGGATACATATATCGGATACTTTCCATATCTAATTTTAGGATTGTATTATATCCATAACTAATTAGAGGATTTCCAAATATTTCTCTAACTAATTTAATATAATCTATTAAAATAATTATTATTCTTCTTTCACTTTTATTTGATCTTATTTTTAATTTATGATATTATACTATATAATATAAATATTTAATAATAATTTAACTTTTTTTGCATATACTGCAATTTGAATTTTTTGAAACAGACATATAATACTCAACTACACTCGGTTAAATATTTTGGACAATGGTTTAAAATCATTATAAGTATGACCAATATTAAAACCATTGTTACATGAGCATATTTAAAAATTTTAAAAGTTTCAAAATATTATGATTAGGAGGTTCAAATATATATAAACTTTAGAATTTATAATATGAATTTTTTTTATGACATAAATGTAATTTGGAGACATAATTTTAATTGATAAAATATATTATATATCAAACTATTTAAAATTTATATTGTTCACGGGTATTTTGTTAAATCACAATTATAATGATAAAGCGAGTTATGAATAATGTTTTTTACAAAATGGATTATGTTACGGGTTGGTCCTTCAAAAAAATTATTGTAAATATGTAATTTTACATATATTCCTACTTTTACTACAAAATGGTCAAAATGAATATTTTATCGACAAATATTATTTCGTGCTGTTAAATTTTCACCGTGTTTTTAATTGTATCAAAACTCAATATATAATTATTTACTCACTTTTTCCTTTATTATTTTATTTAAACTTATTATACAAATATATGATTCACCGTAATCGACTGGATTGCAATAAAATTAAAATGTAACATATTTTAATCCGTTAATGGTTATATATATATATATATATATAAATATTTCCTCCGCGCTGTAGCGCGGGTCCGAACCTAGTTTGCCTGATAAAGCAAATGTACAAGCAAGAAATATACAAAACACATAGAGTAACCATTTTTTTTAGTCACACTCGATACGCTGTCGTATTGGTTTGTCTCTATTTGTTTTGTAATACCGACGTGGCGGCGTGCAAAGAGAAGGGATCGTTAAAGTAATGACGTGACGAAAATATATTGGTATTACGTGGATTAAAAGTTGAACGAAACATATTTAAAGGGCCGCATAATCATATTTGACCAAGGCGAACAACGTCGGTCCAACAACTAATCCCTTCTTCACCTACTACTACTATCTGACTGTATCGGAGCGCTGGAGACTTGAAAAAATGGCGGAGAAAGATGCGACGGCGAGTGGCGGTGACGCCATTAGAGTTAGTGGTATGCAGTTCGCATACGAAGTTGAGGATCCTATATTCTTCGACTTCAACCTCGATCTTCCAGTTGGCTCTCGCTGCCTTCTCGTTGGTGCTAATGGATCTGGTAGGATCAGTCGATTTTTCTTTCTTTTTTTGCTCTTTTTGGGTCTATGAGTCTATTATCTTGATTCAGCTTTTGTATTAGCGTTTCAATTTCTTTACCTTCTGCTAGAATCGAAATTTAAAGTAATCCTTGTTCTGATTTTATTCAAAGTTTGGACTTGGAAATTGCCCTATGCCTCTGCAATTTAATGAATTTATATTTGCTAGCTGTATGATTTATTGGGCTTCTTTCGTTTAGAAGCTACTTAAATCATGGGTTTGATTTGGTTCTTCTGGAAAACTAAGTCTTGTGTTCCTTTGGAACTCAGGCAAGACAACCTTACTGAAGATTTTGGCTGGAAAACATATGGTGGGAGGAAAAAACGTTGTACAAGTTCTTAGCCGCTCAGCTTTCCATGATACTCAACTTGTTTGTAGTGGTGACTTGTCTTACCTTGGAGGATCATGGAGTAAAACCGTTGGTTCAGCTGTGAGTTGTCTTTCTACTGTTCTTTCTGCTTCCATTTCTCATGCTTTTTGTGTTATCTTTAAGGAATTTGATTGCTTAGAGCGTAACTAATCTTTGATCATGTTACCGCATTATCGATATGAGATTGCCTTCTTTCTTGATTCTGCTATATTTTAGGGTGAAGTTCCTCTCCAAGGAGACTTTTCAGCAGAACATATGATATTTGGAGGTAACATTGTCTGCCTTACAGCAATGAACTTCTGTAATTTGGTTTGTTTTCTCTTATTCAGGCTTCGACTGAAGGAAATTTTTGTTTTGTTGTCCTAATAGTTGAAGGAATTGATCCCGTACGAAGAGAAAAATTAATCGATCTTCTTGATATTAATCTTCAATGGCGTATGCATAAGGTTTCTGATGGGCAGAAACGGCGAGTGCAGATATGCATGGGACTCTTACATCCATTCAAGGTAAAAAGAACATGGTTTCAGAGAGGCTGTTTATTCTGCATCCTCTAAAATCTCACATGGTCATTGTTAGTTATGTTCTCCTCTGGCTTTAATGAAAAAAAAAAACCTTGTTCTCGAATTTGTTTTTGTCATTGCTGACCCTAGTTTAATCTGATTTTACAAACTTCTTATAAAATATCTCATCTGATCGCAGGTATTATTACTCGATGAGGTCACTGTGGACCTAGACGTCGTTGCAAGGATGGATTTACTGGAATTCTTCATTGAAGAATGTGATCAGGTATTATTCAATATCTCCTAAGTATATATACTCCGGTTCTATCGATTAGTTACTGGAATATGATGCTTAACCATACAAGGAAAAGCTTTCATATTGGTTCTTGTTGCTGCGAAGTGATGTTGCCTATGATTACTATCAGGTCCTAGCATGTCTATGATCTGTGTTAGCTCCCAAAGTGTCAAAGTTACTTATAGCATGCATGTATCCTGAGTTCTACAGCACTTAATAGTTGGACAAGGTTTTATAGCATTCAAACAAGTAAATGCAGTTTGATAGAATTCTCTTGAGTTTGTAATTGTGCATTAGTTAGTAGATGATCTTTGACTTGTGTATAACATTGGTTAACTCAGAGAGGAGCTACAATTGTATATGCAACTCACATATTCGACGGGCTAGAGACATGGGCGACACATTTGGCCTATATTCAGGACGGTGAGCTAAATCGTTTATCAAAAATGACAGATATTGACGAGCTGAAAACTTCACCCAACCTCCTCTCCGTGGTAGAATCTTGGCTTCGTTCTGAAATCAAACTCGTGAAGAAGAAGAAGATAAAGCCTGTGGCAGCATGGAAACCATCTCCATTCGATAACTCTCCTTTCAGGTCATCAAGACACATGGCTTATTACTGATGATTGCTGCTAATTTACCACTGAGTCTGAGGTTATCGATACACTTGGGAACAGTTGATATTTTGTGTTTGTCTAGCTACTATGTACTCTCTTGTGTTCATTAAAGTATATAATGTATACAACAATTGAACAAAACGTACGTGTTGCTTTGACACCTATGTATTTCCATCTTTGAATTTGTTTGTTTTGTATTAAATTTTGATTTTTGGACATCGTTTTTGGATTGCGTATTGTGTGATTTATAAACTTAGATTTTAATACCATACGTCCAAACTTACGTATTGTTAGTTTAGTATTAATTAAACTTGGATCAGGCCTTTAAAAAAAAAAAAAAAATTAAACTTGGATCGTAACAACATTACATCGGTTTAAGATTGATTTTGATTTTAGTGGTCTAAAACAATATAAACTACATCGGTTTAAGATTGATTTTGATTTTAGTGGTTTAAGATTTCAACGAAACGATGTCGGTTCCCAAAAAACATATTACAATGAAAAAAAGGAAAAAGATAAATGAGAGTGAAAGACGAAACTCTCCCTAAAGCTTGTTAAATCTTAACCCTTTGTTTGGCTCGGGGATCCATTCATCGGGGAGGAGGAGGAGTTAGCGCCTTCGAGACCGTCGCTCAGTCGCCGAAAAATCACCACCCTGACCGCCACTGATTTCAGATCTTCATCTCCAGCTAGGTTTGCAATTACTCTTTCTCCTTCCGCTGTTAATTAGTTCAATCGCTTCTGCTTAGATTCTCTTACTTGTCGTGAAACTTGAGTTTAGGAGATTTTCTTTTCGTTATCTAATCGTAGGGTCTGGATTGAATGCCGCATGAGTGTTTCTGCTTTCAGTTAATTCTATATGCATCAGTTTCGGTATCGAGAAACGTTTAGCCTTTGATTTTGATGTTGTTATCATCAAAATTGGTTTATTAGGTTTGAATTTTGTCTCTGTGAGCTCACGAGGAATGTCGTCTATATATGTGGAACTGGTTAATAATAGAGAATATTCTTAGGGTTCTTAAGGACGCTCTTTGAATATTTGTTTATTGCTTTTCAAGGGTGCGCGATTGATAAAATTTTATTTTAAATCTTCGACAGATATGGGTTCTCATGGTAAGAGTAAGAGAGATAGCCGTGAACGTCAGAAGAAGCGGAGATATGAATCCGACTCTGAGTCTGAGTCTTACACTTCTGACTCAGATGGTTCTGATGATTTGACTCCTCCCAGGAGTTCCAGGAGGAGGAAAAGCAGCAGCAGTCGTCGGACCCGACGCCATAGCTCGAGTGATGATTCCTCTGATAGTGATGGTGGACGGAAGAGTAAAAAGAAATCTTCATCTAAGGATCGCTCGGAGGAAAAACTCAAGGAGTATATGTCTAAAAGGGCCCAGAAGAAGGTAATTGTTTTGTATTTTGTTACTTTGTTTGTGTCCTTTGTGTTGCTTTTATTTAATGCCTTGAATGTATTGGAGCTGGTTGCTAACTTTATGCTACTTTTAAATTTGTTATAGGCATTACGTGCAGCAAAGAAACTGAAGACTCAGTCAGTATCGGGGTACTCCAATGATTCAAACCCGTTTGGGGATTCAAATCTCACCGAGACGTAAGTGAATCACTATTAAGAAAATGGTAGATGGTTATTGTTTTGACTTTTACTGGTATAGTTTTGAGAATATGATATAATAGCGCATAGTTCATTCCTAGTTTTAACCAGATAAATAAATATCATAGGGTGCAACTCCCTTTCGTTTACTTGTACAAATTTTATAAACTGTTAGCCAAAGTGTCTTAAATTGAATGTATGTAATCAATTTATTCGGATGACACTTGTGAAATAACCTGGTTTTAAGAGTTTGCATTCTCATGCATGCAATTCTGTTTATACCAGATTTGTGTGGCGGAAGAAGATCGATAAAGATGTTCATCGTGGAGTACCACTGGAAGAATTTTCCGTTAAAGCTGAGAAGAGAAGACACAGGGAAAGGATGGTATGTACAATAATCATTACTGATTATATATAAAAAGCAAGGAACTTTTCATTTCCTGGATTTTTTCAAATATTTGCTATTTTTTCTGGTGGAATGAGCTTTCTGGTTTATGTCTTAAGCACTTTGGTTCAATGTGCAGACAGAGGTTGAAAAGGTTAAGAAGAGGAGAGAAGAGAGAGCAGTGGAGAAAGCTCGACATGAGGAAGAAATGGTAAAGTCTTTTTCATGTTCTAAATAGGAACCCTAACTTTTTCACAAAACCCTTTGGTCCAACAGATGTAAATGATTGAATTTCATATTCCCCAATCATCTCTCTAATTTGGTTTATACTGTATAGCTACTGACTTATAATTCTTTTATCTTCTGCAGGCATTATTAGCTAGAGAACGTGCCCGAGCTGAGTTCCATGATTGGGAGAAGAAAGAGGAAGAAGTATAACTGCGCTTTCTTTGTTTTTGCAATTAATTCTTCTTTTAGATGTGTTAGGTGTATAGTACTTGACATATCTCCTTGATCTACAGTTCCATTTTGATCAAAGCAAGGTGAGGTCAGAGATCAGATTACGTGAAGGTCGACTGAAGCCAATCGACGTCCTCTGCAAGCACTTGGATGGTTCAGATGATTTGGATATCGAGCTTAGTGAACCCTACATGGTTTTCAAGGTATTTACGAAGTTCATGTTGAAATGTAAAACCATATGTGTCAAGTTATGGAGCTGTTTCACTTAAGTTAAGTCTATACTTTCTTTGGGGCTAGTTCAGTTCATAACATTTTCAGTCGTTGGGAACAGTTGTATTAGGGTAGTAGTATAGAGGGAAGAAGCTTGATAGAACATAAGTTATTCTGCAAGTCTAAGTTAGCCGTTAAGATAGCATCGTTGTTGGTTACTTTTTTTGAGTATCTCTTAAACTATTATCAACCTATGTATAAGATGACTTCTGTATATGAATTTGGCTGAATTTTCAACTTAATTAAGTAACCTCTATGTAGTTTTTGTACGAAGAATCAAAAATTAAAAAAAAAGAGAACCAGAATGTGAGAATGATTCTGGATGCTTTGCTTTTGAGACGGAAAATGGAGATCTCTCGTTAAACAAAGTCTCTGACTTTGTAGTTGTTCTCTTTTGGTGAACAAAGAAGAGTTTATTGGTTTGGTTTATTCAGATTGTTGTGATGGTTTTAATTATATTGACGTATTATCCTCTGACTTGCGTGATGCAGGGACTCACTGTTAAAGATATGGAAGAGCTTCGCGATGATATCAAGATGTATCTGGATTTGGATCGGACAACTCCAACACGCGTGCAGTATTGGGAGGTACTTTTTACTATTGAGTCTCATATATTTCATTCAGGATGATTCTTGCATTCATGTATGGAATTTCAATACAGTCTGAATAATATATATTTAATGGACCCTCTTGTTGTCTCTTTTTTACGATTCATTATCATTTTTGCTCCTTTTTATGTTATTAAATACATGTTTAGAGGAAATACGTATGCTTATACTATCATATTTTCAGGCACTTATAGTGGTATGCGACTGGGAGTTAGCTGAAGCTCGTAAAAGGGATGCCCTTGATCGAGCTAGAGTTAGAGGGGAGGAACCTCCAGCAGAATTGCTTGCTCAAGAGAGGGGACTACACGCTGGTGTTGAAGCTGATGTGAAAAAACTTCTTGATGGGAAGACCCACGCGGAGCTTTTAGAACTGCAGTTGGACATCGAATCGCAGCTGCGTTCTGGGTCAGCGAAAGTTGTAGAGTATTGGGAAGCAGTTCTTAAACGCCTCGAAATATACAAGGCAAAGGTATTTGCTTGTGCATGATCTTGAGATGTTAGATTTTGAAAATAGAGGATTTGTTTTTTCTCGTACTCATTGAGTATCTTAATGTTCAACAGGCTTGCTTGAAGGAAATACACGCTGAGATGCTGAGGAGACATCTACATCGCCTCGAGCAACTTTCAGATGGTGAAGAAGATGTAGAAGTTAATAATGGCTTAACTCGTGTGGTGGAAGAAAATGAGGAAGAGATGAATGGTAGTAATCTTTCAGATGCTGTAGAAGCATTTTCTCCAGAGCCTATCGTGGAAGAAGAAGAAGCTGATGAGGCAGCAGAAGCGGCTGGTTCGTTTTCGCCAGAGCTCATGCATGGTGATGATCGTGAAGAAGCAATTGATCCTGAGGAAGACAAAAAGCTACTGGTACTCTTATCAATTCCTACAATTTACTTTTGCCCATGAATTCGTTGATGCTTTTACTGACCTATAATATGGTTGCGGCTATAACAGGAAATGAAACGGATGGTTGTGTTGGAGAAACAGAAGAAACGGCTTAAAGAAGCTATGGCCTCAAAACCAGCACCTGTAGAAGATAACTTGGAGCTTAAAGCAATGAAAGTAATGGGGGCAATGGAGGAAGGTGATGCCATATTTGGCTCTAATGCTGAAGTGAACCTTGATTCTGAGGTACCCCTAATGCTAATATATCTCTTCTCTACCCATACATTTTGAACTTTTGGAATGAAAAATCTAAAATTTTCATCTTATAGGTATACTGGTGGCATGACAAGTACCGACCAAGAAAACCGAAGTATTTCAATCGGGTTCACACGGGTTATGAATGGAATAAGTATAACCAAACGCACTATGATCATGATAACCCGCCTCCAAAAATCGTTCAAGGGTACAAGTTTAACATCTTCTACCCGGATTTAGTAGACAAGATTAAGGCTCCCATATACACTATCGAGAAGGATGGGACAAGCGCTGAAACTTGTATGATCAGGTTCCATGCTGGTCCGCCTTATGAAGACATTGTAAGTACTCAGAACGATTACCGTGGGTATCCATCATTGCCTCTTTTGCTATCTATCATTGCTCAACCTTTTTTGTTGTTTCTTTTCAGGCGTTCCGGATTGTGAACAAAGAATGGGAGTATTCTCACAAGAAAGGTTTCAAATGTACGTTCGAGCGTGGGATTCTGCATTTGTACTTCAACTTTAAACGACATAGGTACAGACGATAAACTAATCGGGGTTTGGCGGGAGAAGATAAACCGGCAGTTGTAAGACTTTGGCTAATGTTTTATTAAGCCCTGTTTGTAAGATAATTGCAATACATAGAGCAAATTTGGATATCTATCAAGTAAAGACGAACTGTATTTTGATATTTTCATTGGAGCTGATAATCAAAACAGAGCCGAATAGAATATGTCAGCGTGAAAAGCTCTCACAATCGAAGATGTTATGATCATTGAAACAAATCTGGGAGTTGGTGAAGCTTTAAGTGTTTTGCTTAAGGTGAATTTAGCTCTTGTGGTAAAGTTGGTGTAGGCATGAATTGTGTGTGAGTGTTTTTGGTTGGGGAGGAGAGACGAATGAAAAGAGTTTAGTTTAGGTCTTGGGAAGTTGCTTAGGTTGAGATCTCAACATCGAAAGTGCTTATAAAAAGATTCTGTTGGTAACTTAAGTAGTGGAGTAGAAGATATTATTTATTCTGACTTTTCATTTCCTTTTCATCATCTTTTGATGTCTCTTTTTCTCCAAACTCTCCTTCACTCCAAGACAAAGACCTTTTTTTTATTTGTTAGCTTAAAAAAATTCCATTTCTTCTTCTAATAAACTTGATTTCTCTTCCAAATATGTGAAATATATTTAGATACGGTCAAGCTGTTGATAAAAGTTTTCTAGTTTTGCTTTAAGTACCGGAGTATGGATTCGAGAATTTGTTCGAATTTGAGATCATGTAAATGCCCATGTATTGCATGTTTTTGCGTTCTTATTTTATATTAGTTTGTAAACATGCATAACTCTATTTCTACCAAATATTCGGAATAAATCCCACCATCTAAGCTTAATGAAGCTTTTTGGAAATGAGAAACTAGTGCGCAGAGAGTAGAGACAACCACTAAAATAAATGTCTCTCGTCAACATCACAAGTATATCTACCTAAAGTGTAAACAATTCCCTATACAACTAAAATTAATATACCAAAACAAAAATGAAAACTGCTTAAAAAGAAAGAAAACGAACAAATAATAAGAATATGGTGCTCTCTATATATGATCAAATCGCTTTCAAACTTCTACGGTAACCCGACATTTCCTGTTTTTTTCCATCATTCCACTTTCTTTCTCTCGTTTTCTGAAACCACTGTTCTTGTTTTTTTTTTTTTTTTCCCGATAATTTGTTCAGGGAACCGTATCTTATTCTCCGATCTTTCCGCTTCTATCTGATTTTTCAGATATGAACTCAGGTACGTTCAATACTTTCTTTAAACCAACTTATTTCCCAGGGTTTCATTAAGACTTAATTTTAATATACAATCAGAAAATCCTCGAATTTAGATTTTTTATTTATTTTTTAATTCGTTTGAGTTTCAACTAATATCTTTTTAGGGTTTCAATCTTAGGTTTTCCCTTTTTTAGATTAATTAAAGAGTTTAAAATTTAAGAAGAAGAAGAAGGAATATGGATTCTGCAAGAAGTTGGTTTCACAAGTTTCAACCACGAGATAGGCCCCCGAAAAAAGATATGCGCTCCGGAAGCACTTGCGGCGGTGGCGTGACAGAAACCACCGTCCCCGACGGAGCAAACGAAACAGAAACGACGGCCAAACTTCCACCACTAGGCGGGGACGGAGAAGCACTCTCAAATACAACCAAACAGAAGGTCGCCGCAGCCAAACAGTACATTGAGAATCATTATAAGGAACAGATGAAGAACCTCAACGAGAGGAAAGAAAGGTACTATATACATTAATTACTAACGGTTTACACTATATTTCTCTGTTACTACATTAGAGATATTAGATTCTTGATGCATGAAATTTAAATTTAACAGACGAACAACGCTGGAGAAGAAGCTTGCAGATGCAGATGTATGTGAAGAAGATCAAAACAACCTTATTAAGTTTCTTGAGAAGAAAGAAACAGAGTATATGAGACTCCAAAGGCATAAAATGGGTGCTGATGATTTCGAACTCTTAACTATGATCGGTAAAGGTGCTTTTGGTGAGGTTCGAGTTGTTAAAGAGAAGAACACAGGTCACGTTTTTGCTATGAAGAAGCTCAAGAAATCAGAAATGCTTCGCAGAGGGCAGGTTACATGTACATTTTATATTCCACGTACACCGCATTTTCGGTTTTACTAGCTTGTTTTTATCTGAAAGCTTTTGAAAATTATTTTCTTTGTAGGTAGAGCATGTAAGATCTGAGAGGAATCTATTGGCAGAGGTAGACAGTTCCTGTATAGTGAAGCTTTACTGTTCTTTTCAAGACAACGAGTACCTGTACCTGATAATGGAGTATTTGCCCGGAGGCGATATGATGACACTTCTGATGAGGAAAGACACTTTAAGTGAAGATGAAGCTAGGTTCTATGTCGCTGAAGCTGTTCTGGCTATCGAATCTATCCATAAACGCAACTATATCCACAGGTTGGATCTTAATTAATTATTAGTCATTACTCATGATCACAAAGAAAGATGTGTGTTTAATCTGAGATGTTGTTTTGTTGCATGCAGGGACATAAAGCCGGATAACTTGCTGCTTGATAGACATGGACATTTGAGGTTGTCTGATTTTGGACTATGTAAGCCATTGGATTGTAGTGTTATTGACGGGGAAGATTTCTCGGTAGAATATTCGGGTAACGGAGGAGGTTCAGAGAGGGAAGAGAGTGCATCAACCGCTCCTAAACGCTCGCAGCAAGAACAGTTGCAACATTGGCAGAAGAATCGAAGAATGCTTGTATGTACACTCTGGATTAGTATGGTTTCAAGCTCCGACTGATAAATCTGGTTTTTCTATAACGAAATATATCTCTAATATTCCAAGTACACTTGCTGTTGGTAACGTGTAACACTTAATTACAGGCTTACTCAACCGTTGGTACACCAGACTACATTGCACCTGAAGTCTTGTTAAAGAAAGGATACGGCATGGAATGTGACTGGTACCATACACACGTGTCTGTTTTCTATTTGTAAACAAAGAAAATAAATATAAGACATTCAAATTCATATAGAAGGTTTTATATACATAATGCAACCAGGTGGTCACTAGGAGCTATAATGTACGAGATGCTTGTTGGGTATCCACCCTTTTACGCCGACGACCCAATGTCTACTTGTAGAAAGGTTCAAATAAATTTTGACTTTTTTTTTTTATAATTTCTTCTAATGAGCTTTTATGTATTTACTAGCTATACACTTTGTACATGTTAAAAAAACAGATAGTGAATTGGAAAACGCATTTGAAGTTCCCTGAAGAAGCAAGGCTATCACGAGCGGCGAGGGATCTTGTTGGTAAGCTCTTGTGTAGCGTTGACCAACGACTAGGCTCTACTGGTGCCTCACAGATTAAGGTATCAATCTTTCTCTTCCTCTTTTTTTTTTTTTTTTTTTTTTTTTTTCTTTTCTTTTGTTTTCTATAGTAAAGAGCTAAAGATTACAAAATAGTTAAAGTTGAAGTTATACATTTCACCCCAAAATCGTCACATGTAGGCACATCCTTGGTTCGAAGGTGTAGAATGGGAAAAGATTTACCAAATGGAAGCTGCGTTTATTCCTGAGGTCAACGACGATTTGGATACTCAAAACTTCGAGAATTTCGATGAGGTTTTTTCATTTTATTTTTTTATAATCTTTTTCACATTTGTTTAAAGTTAATCATGATCTAAACTACTATCTATGATCATTTTCTTTTATGTTTGGTTGAATGTATATGTTTAGGAAGATAATCAAACTGAAGCACCCTCTAGAACAGGACCATGGAGAAAAGTAAGTACTCGAGTTTTTTTGACTAATTCATTTTCTGAATTAAAAATGATATAAAGATAGTGTGTATATATAGTTTGACTTTAACATTTTGTAATCAGAACGTTAACTTTAACACGGTTTCCCATGAATTATTTTGCATGTTCTGCTAGATGTTATCTTCAAAAGACATAAATTTTGTCGGCTACACATACAAAAACTTTGAAATCGTCAACGATTATCAAGTCCCTGGAATAGGTATCTTCTTCAATTTCTAAATATTAAAAAAGCTTCTAGAAAAAGTTGGATACTTGGATAATAAATTGGATTAGAAACTTCTAACATTCCGGTTTACGTACGTTTTACTCCTCCAGCTGAACTGAAAAAGAAAGAGACAAAACCAAAGAGACCATCGGTTAAGTCACTATTTGGTACGTGAAAATCTCTCATTCCACTCTATTTAGTTCTCGTATTCAACACATAACCGGGGTTAATTTTTTACGTTTGTTAAAATGTCACAGAGAGCGAACCGTCTGCTGGTTCGGAGCAACAGACCATTAACCGGAGCATGTCGAACCCGACGCCTCCTGAAATGGAACCCAACCTGAGGCGTCTAGAGTCTGAGTAGATTATGCCTTCTTCTATGTCTCTCTCTATATACTATACATAAACAAAACTAAACCTGAAATAATAGTAAAACTTTTCTTCTCTAATTTTCTTTTATATATATATGTATATATATTTGTTTGTTAACCCTAATTTGTAATAGCAAAACACTGATGTAATTACATGTAGGTGGTAGGACGTCAAAGATGAATCATTGTCAAATTACAAGTATTTGTTTTTTTTTAACCCCACTTTTTATAAGGTAAAAAAAAAAAATAGATTTCTGAGTTATTAACTTATTATATAGTTTCGTCAACGTCTGGTAGATTCGGATGAGACTCATATTTCCTGATTGGGAAATAAAAAAGGGACCTTGAAATCCATGTAGACGACACATATGGGCAGTTGTTGTTGTGCCCAAAATTTGATGTATGCAACTGATTTTTATATTGGAATGCAAATCCAAATGAATGCCGTATTGTAACTTATTTATCAAATAGTATTTTTTTCTTTTTTTTTAAAGTAGTTTCGCATGTGGTCATAAATAATTGAGTGAGGGAAACAAAAAGAAAAAAAAGTAGACAACGGACACAAATGTCAGTGTCACCAAAAAAAAAAATCTATCATTTCCTTATTTTATTTTATTTTTGTAATTATGGTTTTCGTTTGTTATTCCTAACTTCTTCGTTGTATTAACAACTACCGAATCTTTCCCTTGTTCAACAAAATTAGACATATTTTTTGGGTCTAATCCAGCTCAAAAGTTTACGTTTTTTCTTTCTCTTCTTGTTTTGTTTTGTGTGTGTGTGTGTGTGTGTGTGTGTGTGTGTGTGTGAGCTGGTTCGATTTCTTATCCAAGCAAGGAGGAGGAAGGAGGGGAGGTTTCATTGGTTAAACAAATTGAGAATGTGGGGGAGGGGGACCCTAAGGATATGATATGATGAACTGTCAATTGTAAAGCAGACAGTTCCGTGATTCATCGTTTTCATGGTTCGATTCTATTTCTGATTTCCCCATTCTCTGGTTTCCATCATTCCGTTTTGTTTAGTTTCCCCTTGGCGCATCCTTACCAAACTTATGCATCTTTGAAACTTTCGCCTTTCTTTTCCTTTCTTTATTCTTGTTTGGTGTCGAATTCGATTGTCACGTCAAAGAGGGTTTGATTCTGGTGTTAAATGTTGGATTGGAAGACCAATCCAGGGCCGAGTTTTGGAGACAAGGGTTTGTTCGATTTCTGGGTTTGAAAAGTTTGGATTTTTCTTTTTTTTTTTCTTGTTTTAGAGATTGATTTGTTGGAGAAATAGAAACTATGGATCTTGTCATTGGTGGAAAATTTAAACTTGGGAGGAAAATTGGTAGCGGATCATTTGGAGAGCTTTATCTTGGTAAATAACACCAGCAAGATTTTGTCAACTTCTTCCATGTAAAGATATTCAGGTTTTTATGTTGTTTTGATCACTTTTTTTGCAGGTGTAAATGTTCAAACCGGAGAAGAAGTTGCTGTCAAGCTGGTACGTTTTTTTTTTTTTACAATGGTAGACTTTGATGATGATTTTGGTGTGAAGTATTAATGTCAGCTGTGACTTTCTTCTGGCCATTTGATTCTGCTTCTTTGGTATTATATCATTCTTCTTATTGTTTCTTTTTTTGTGTCTCAAATTTTATCCTCAGGAATCTGTGAAAACTAAGCATCCCCAACTCCACTATGAGTCAAAGTTGTATACGCTGCTTCAAGGAGGAAGTAAGTCTCCCATTCTTCATGTCAAAATGTGTCCTAGTTCCATTTTATTTCATCCTAAACTTGTTTTTCTTTTGTTGAAGCTGGTGTTCCTAACCTCAAATGGTATGGAGTTGAAGGAGAATACAATGTAATGGTTATTGACCTTCTAGGTCCTAGTCTTGAAGACTTGTTTAACTACTGCAACAGGAAACTCTCTTTAAAAACCGTTCTCATGCTTGCGGATCAGCTGGTGAGTATATTACATATCTTGCAGTTTATTTGGTTTCAATATTATGTCTTCATCCATAAACGGAGAACTATTCCTATGGTTTCAGATAAACAGAGTCGAGTTTGTGCATACTAGAGGTTTCCTTCACCGTGATATTAAACCCGACAACTTTTTAATGGGCCTTGGGCGCAAAGCAAATCAGGTGCCATCTCAGAAAGAATTGTTGGGATGCTCTTTGATATGAAGAAGCAAAGTTTGACTTGTTTTCTTATTTTGATTCTATATCATGGAAGCATAGTTATGGTCAGGTTTCAGAAAATCTTGATGGTTATTTTCTGATTATTTCTGTACTTACAGGTGTATATCATCGATTTTGGACTGGGGAAGAAATACAGAGACCTTCAGACTCACAGGCATATCCCGTACAGGTAAAGGTTATTTCTTTTCCCTGTCCTTACTGATGTTGATATATATATGTAGCTGAATAGTAAATATTAAACTTTGGGGCAGAGAAAACAAAAACCTCACTGGAACAGCTCGGTATGCAAGTGTGAACACTCACCTTGGAGTCGGTAAGCATGTTTTCCTCTAAGATTAAGCTTCTAAACTTTTTGTACTCGAATCTGATAAGATAATTTTCTTGCTGGTGTCTCTAAAGAACAAAGTCGAAGGGATGATTTGGAATCTCTTGGTTATGTGCTTATGTATTTCCTTAAAGGAAGGTATGACTCTACACGTTTCATACCAATCTTTAGACTTTCTTCTGTGGTCTGCATTCTCAATCCTGGTACCTCTTTCCAAGGAATGTTGAATTTTTCTTCTCATATGTTATTTCCTACAGCTTACCCTGGCAGGGATTAAAAGCTGGGACAAAGAAGCAGAAGTATGACAGGATTAGTGAGAAGAAAGTGGCAACTCCCATAGAGGTATCGAAACTGACATTTAGCTTCAGGTTTTGTGAGTATTTTAAGTTTTGATGAATTAGCATTGATTTGAAAAACAGGTATTGTGTAAAAATCAACCGTCTGAGTTTGTTTCGTACTTCCGTTACTGCCGGTCTCTACGGTTTGATGACAAACCTGATTACTCTTACCTCAAGAGGCTATTCCGCGACTTGTTTATTCGAGAAGGTTCTGATAGCATATTTCTTATTCAAGCATATAACCTTTGTCTCTGGAATTCAACTTCTTATATTCATTCTCAATGGCAGGTTATCAGTTTGACTATGTATTTGACTGGACAATTCTGAAGTATCCTCATATTGGTTCCAGCTCTGGTTCTAGTTCACGTACGCGGGTAATTTATGATACTGCTTTCTTTATTAGTGGTTCTGGAGTTTTCTCCCTGTTCAAGGGTTCAGATGTAAACTAATTATATTCGTTTCAGAATCATACAACTGCAGGACCTTCTCTCGAAAAACCAGAGAGGGCTGTTGCTGGTAAATTTTTCACTCTGTTTTTTTCTTTGTGAAACCTCAAACCAAATTCCCGCCTAGTGGTTATTTCTTTTGCAATATGCAGGAAAGGAAATCCGCGAGAACCGGTTCTCAGGTGCGGTTGAGGCTTTCTCTAGGAGGCATCCAACCACGTCTACTCCTCGTGATCGCTCAGCATCAAGAAACTCTGATGATGGGCCTTTGTCCAAGCATTCGGTAAAGAAACATTCTTAATCCGGTTTGTCAGATCAAATTTTTGATTCTGTTCTGGTTTGGCTGAACCGAAACTGAACCCGAAACCTTAACCCCTAACCTAACCCTACCCTAAACCCCAAAGCTAACCTTACAATAAACCCTAAACTAGACCCTACCCCAAACCTTAATCCTATCCCTAGATCCCAAACTCTAAATCCTAAACCCAAACTTTTGTGAATCCCTCACTAGGTTGACTCACTCTATATTTTGCTCTAATTTGCACAGCACGGTGACTCAGAAAGATTACGTAATTCCTCAAGATACGGAAGCTCATCAAGGAGAGCAATTGCTTCAAGTTCTCGTCCAAGTTCCGCGGGTGGACCAAGTGATAGTCGATCCGCTAGCCGTCTGGTTGCTTCGAGTGGCGGAGTCGGAACAGGAAGTAACCGTGCATCGACAAGCCAGGGAATCCAATCAGGAAACGTATCTAAGACGTCAACTTTTTCTCGTGCTGCTAGAAACACTCGGGAGGATCCATTGAGGAGGAGCTTAGAGCTTCTCTCTCTCCGAAAATGAAACATGAAAAGAAGAAAGTCAATATACGAACAAACCAAACACAACAAAACCATCGTAAGAGAATCTGCGTTAAGATTACACAACATTTCATTGTATATTTTAAAACAGTTTTAGTCTAGATGACACTTAAAGAGAGAGGGAGCTGAGTTGTCGTGTAAAACGGAGAAATTTATGAATGTTTTCTTAATTTATAACAAAACATTACACGTTGGCTAAATTTATTAATTTGCGGGCTGATTCATATATATATACACGTTGGGCCCGTTAAAATCTACCCGTAATAAAATGATTAGTGCGTGGGCTGATTCGTATATACACGTTGGGCCCGTTAAACTATAATCTTAATAAAATGATGGGGGCCTTTTTGACCTTTCGTTATGGAGATTAGAGCTAGGGTTTCGACCAGCCGCGTGCTACTTAAGATCATCTTCGTCCAAGCTCTGTTTCTTACAGTTTATCGATCTTTAGATTAGTCAATAGCTTAGGGTTTTATGTATCGAGTATTATGGATAGCAGGAGCCTCCCGGGCTGATCTGATTACAAAATAAGTACTTGAGGAACTTAGCCCCAAAGCTCCTGCTATATTGTTTTTTTGCCGTTTGTGTTGCAGATTCGTCCTATTCCTTAGGCTCTTCTGTGTCAAAAAAGCGGCTATACCTCGCTTTTGCTAGCAATGTTGTTTATGTTTTTAGTGTTTTTGGGCGATGATTATAAACTTACCCGCGCTTCTGAGATGCTTCTTTAGGTCAATGAAGCATATAAGGTAAAATACATGGTTGAATTTCTTAATATGAGCCTAAGTCCCTGTTTCATCCTCTTCAAAGTTTTGTTCTTTTGGGTGTTATACAAGTTTTGTATTGGCAGTGATGATGAATTGTAACAGCTTGATACGCCAGTTCTGCTTCAGATAATTTTTGATTGAAAAAGCTGTATTCTTTCTGAGCCTAGAATGTTTCTTTTAAGTGTTTCCTTTTGTAGTGTTTTTTGAATTGTCGATGATGATATAATCCATTCGTAATGAGGTGCAGTGGAGTCGAGACCCTGTTTTACAGGGAGAACCCCTTGGCAGAAGCTGCAATTTCTATGATTTTAATGGATTTTACTGAGGCTCTTTCATAACAATATTGTGTTCTTGGTTTCATAAAAATGAAATCTGTTGAGTTTAAACTATACACTTGCACTTATTTCTTAGTGCTTGTAGTCTGAAAAAACTCAGAAATTTCCAGTGTTCTCATCAGCTTCGTCTCATCTTTTACCATGAGGCTAGAGTTAAACAAGAACGCTACATTATCATCCCTCTTCCAAATTGACCGTAGTTTTTGTTTTGTTGTCTAGAATGCCACTTTATCATCCCTCTTCTAATTTGTCCGAAGTTTTTTTTTTGTTGTCTAGAGTATGGTGTTGCCTTTATTCGTGAGTTTCAAGATAAACGACAAGATAATTCCATTGGGTGGAATGGATATACTTGGAAAGAGAAATGTGGGAATAATACATTATTGAAATCTAAATTTGGTGAACTAGTTATGTGATGAGAAAGGGTCTGCTACATTTCGAATTTCTTGATCCCATGTTGTACAATCATAGCAAACGCATCTAATTTTTTCATCTCTAGTGCTATTCCAATCTCAACTCCATTACTGCCGTCTCTAGACTCTAAGAATGCAACAGAACCTCCTGTTTCGATGTGCACAATCTCCATTTTGCAGGGCTTTCCCAACCCAAAATCCATATCATACATTCCCAATTTTGGAGCTCCTGCAACTGAAGTTGGAAAACGGGACATTACCCATTTACGTACTTCTTGTCCCCAACCTGGGGCTGTTTTTAATAGATCACTTGATAACATATCTTTGATTCTTGCTATTATTGCATTTGTAGCAGCCAAAACGCCTCTGTCTCCTAGCAAATCTCGTCTTTTGACTGATACAATACCAGGAGCCATACAGTTGCCAAAGTATGTTTGTGGTATTGGTTCTGCATAGTTGAGACGATTCCTGCAATCCACATTAATCATCAAGTGAAAGTCTTCGTCTTCCTCCTTGGCCTCTATTTCACTTTCTTCAACAAGGGTCTTGATCAAGCTCACCCAAGTGAAGGCGAGAGACACCACGAAGGTAGAAACAGGAGACTGATTCTCAGACTGCTCTGTAAACCAATGCTTGAGATTGTCTATCTGTTGACGGCTCATTTTAAAGGTAGCTCTGTCCATGTTTTTGGGCGTGGCATGTGAGATGTTTTTTCCAGAGTTTTGACTCCAAAATCGCTCCAAATGTCCTGCAGCTACCTCGCCTGGGTCCTTGATCATGTTTCTGCAGCCGTGAATAGGTAGAGGGGGTAGAAGAAGTGTTGTACGTTCTCCACTGTTGGATTTGGTCAATGACATCCAATACTTCATGAAATGAGTAAAAGTTACACCATCTCCTGCAACATGTGTAGATGTGTTGCCTATACAGATTCCGGCTCCAGGGAAGATGGTGACTAGAATCACCATTGTTGGCCGCGTCTGAATTCCTTTCGGAGAGACATGAGGAGGAGGTAACTTGGGCAAGACGCCATGCAACACTCTGATATCTTTAGCAGAATCGGCTTTCAAATCATTGAAATCAATGCCACTAGACTCTGCGACTGTGAAAGCAAGAGAGTCTTTGCCATCGTTGTAGCATAAGTAGGGAGGCTCAGGCCGAGGTGGGATGATTAGTTTACCGGCGTAAGGGAAGAAATGTTGGAGAGTGACAGAGAGTGATTGTTTGAGGTTCGGTATAAAGTCTTTGAGGAAACAGTCGGTTGAGTTTTGGTAAGAGAAGAAGAAGACGGACTCGGCGAGTGGGAGAGTGAGCCATGGGGCATCGAAGAAGGTGAGAGGAAGAGTGGTGGATGGAACGGTGCCGTTTGGGGGAGAGATGTGAGTGGTCTCAATGATGATAGGAGGTTGAAGATGAGCCATTGTGTGATTAAGTTTGAAGAAATGAGTTCCTGTGTTTTTTTATAAAGGGAAGTGTTATCTTGAACCCACCGGGCAAGTGAAGATGTTGCTTCTGTTGTGTAATTTGCTCAGACGCGCTCTCATGTGCTCAACCTCCAACAACCAGTCAACCACCATTATATTTGTTTGTTTTAAAAAAAAAATGTTTTGTGTTTTTGCCTAAGTAATGAGCTCGATATCTCTTTCATCAATCAAACCCTCAACATGTTAGTGTTTCACTCCGAATTCTTTTTGCCATTTTTTATCGAATATATTTTGGAAGCTTCTATTTCCTGAGCTAATATATTCGTCCTCTTTAAATTATTAAAGCTTTTAACAGAAAAAAAAAAAAAAAAAAAAAAAAAAGTTTTTGGCGCACAATATTTTGTATGAGAAAACGAAGCAAAAGTTACAAATTGTTCTTTTTGGGCATTGCAGATAAAAAAACAAAGATGGGAGATAAAAGTAAGGAAAATAAAAGTCACTATGTTTGTCTAATTGTTTATGTATCCACAAATCTTCCCAGAAATCAAACTGTAGAAGACGTATGTATTAGTATCATTGAATGTACAACTTTTCTTGTTTTTTTTTGTTCCTGAAACGTCTTCAAGCTCATGGGCACTTCTTCATTCTATCTAAGTGCCGCCAAACGCTTCTCCAGTTCATCAATTCCAGAACTGCACCAGAAACATCAAGGTTTGATTATGATTTTTTTAGGTAACAGATATGTTATAGTTGTGTTTAGTGGATACCGTACCTGCCAACATCCTCTGTATTCTTCCTGCCAATTTTACTTTTTGGAGTGGATGATAACTGCAGATCGATCAAAACAAAGACAGAGAATCAATAACGGAGAAGCTACAAAGACACATAACAATAAAGAGCATCGATGGTTATAATTATAAACAAACCTGTGCGGCAACATCAATGCCAATTTCATCAAGAACCTAATCAGTAAAACAAGAAGATTTGTTAAACCTTTAGAAACGGTCTTTATTTTAGAACTGGAATCCAATGGCTAGGACGCGAGAAATGTACCTGGTTTGTCAAATCCTCTGTTTCGTCTTCAGCTTCGTCATTGTCTAAAGCATCATCTATGGAATCTGACATCATCTCAGTCTGAATTCCCAATATGCATTAGTTAGAATGACTATTCGAGTGTTCATGGATTTAAAGGAAAGACAGATTTTGATAGATCTTACGGTCATGTCCATTTGCGCAGACTGCTTTTGAAATTCTCTCATAACCTTGGCTTGTTTTGCTGGATCCATATTCTGGAATTATCAAAAAACATCCCGTTAAACTATAGAACAAGTTCTTCCTAATAATTCCTGACTGAATAGATGTTCTTCGTACAACAAGAAGACCCTCAAAAACTTAATCTGAGGAATCCACCCAAATCAATAAACATGGGCTAATCTGATTTGTGTTACATAGAAACCTGACCTTGCTCATAGCTGCCATAGCCTTGGTGGCACCTTGCATTCCAGCAGCAACTGAAGTATGTGCGTGCATAGCCTAAAAACCAAATTTTAAAAGTTTTTTCAACACTCGAAACTTTTTAATGTATGAGATTAAAAACAAGAAATATGATATTCTTGGTTGCTTATGAACAGAGATATTTGACAATGAAATTAGGAGAGAAGTTTTAATGAAGAGACCTGTGTATGAGTAGCTATGCCTCGCATTTGAGCTCGGCTACCTTGTAAGTTGGCTATTTGTTGCCTAAGCCGGATCAATTGCCGAGCAAGAATCTTAGTGGCTCCCTGCATAAAAGCAAAAGATAAACAGTTAGAACTAGATGCTATTACAGACACAAGATTCTCGAGTACAAAACCTGAAAAAGGATGCTGGAAATACCTCATTCCCAGTTTTAGCAGTTCTTTTTATCTCGAGAACAAGCTTCTTCTCCTATCATACATGAAAGAAAACGTTTAAAGATGTATCCCTTTGAAAGAAGAGAGTGAATGAAATACACATAATTAGGCCACACTCATACTTCTGATTGAAGAGATCCGATTTCCTTTTCGATTCCTGAAACAGCAAGGAGAGACAAACACAGGTAAAGAGGGGGGAACTAGAATAATTTGTAACATAGCAATTCAAACTTTGAGCAATATATCTATGATGGTGCCATGGAAGTTAGTGGTAACTTTTCAATCAAGCCATAAAAATCAAACAGGTATAGATTGATTCTCAGTAATAAAATCTTCAAGGCAATAAATAGTCATAGAACAAAGAAATACCTCTGGTAGCTTGTGTCATCTCTCTCTTACTCTCCCGAAGCACTTCTGCAATTTGTCAAAAAAAAACAAACGATACATTCAGTTTCTGACATAAGAAGAGATATATATGATCACGATCGCGCCACAAAATTACAGAACAAGTCAACATTAAGCGAACCGAAGAAACACAGATGATGATCAAAACCCGTCTAGGTGAATCAATCTGGAGAAAACACAAATCCCCGTGAGATATAAAAGAGAAGCTGGAAATCAAACCTCTCGGATTAGGTTTCTTGGTGAAGATGTTCATGTTTGATCTCTTTCCTTAATTTTGTAATTTAGCTCTGGTCTCTGGAAACTGGGGAATCCTGGTTGAAGATGATGGGTCTGAAAGCTTCTTCAGAGCAGCACGGAGAGAAACGAGAGAGATTAGGCTACAAAGGATCTCAGCAAATTTTGGAGGTTTTTATTTTCTCTTACCAATTACGTAATATTCTTATTTCCCCGTTTCTATTATGATTTGTGAGTTTGTTTCTGATAAATTTCGGACTTGTCCTATAATGGTTGTACATATAATGATTTATTTATTTGTCATATGTGTAATGTAAAGGGAAAAAAGGAAAAAAAGTAAAAAAACAAAAAAAGAAAAGGAAAATAGTAATTAAGCGGCTCAAAACATATCTGTGGTTGACCCGTGACCCGTGTGGTCAAAGTGAAAAAAAAAGGAAACGGCTGATGAGTGATGAGATGAGTCATGTAAAAATATATATATACATATCTCTCTGTCTCTGTCTCTGTCTCTGGCTTCACTTTCATAAGTTTCCCCAGTTTTCTTCGCCTCGTAGTCTTCGAGTATCTCTCTGTACCTGATCATTGATCGGTGTGCTTTGTATTCCGTTCATCTGCTAAGTTTTCTTCTCTGCTTACTTGGGTGACGGTCTCTTACTCTTCCAATTACAGAAGAAGAAGCTGCTATTTTTGGAAAGAGATCGCCTCCTGATTTTGTACTTAGTGTATCCTTAATCGAATTCGAAAACTAGGGTTTCTTCCCAGTACGTACTTTGTGGTTTTTGTTCCAAGTATTTGTATATATAAGTTATTCAAGCTGTTGGTTGATACGGTCGTCTGACTTTTCAAAGCCGCCGTTGTCGATTTTTGAATTTTCTGGGCTTTCGCGGCGGAATTGATTCGAGGTGTTCCAAGAAGTGGGCTTTTGCTCTTCTCGGTGGATGAAGTCGGAGAATCATGGATATTGACGGAGTAGACGATGCTCGTATTTTAGATCCTGAGCTCTTGCAGCTCCCTGCTTTGTCTCCTGCTCCGCTCAATGCAAGCTCTCATATTGCTGATGAACTCTTCTCCCAGTGGCTCTCACTCCCACACACTGTCAGATTGGTACCTTATCTCTCTACCCTTCCTCGCCCTCTCTTTTTTCACTGTATTCTAATATTAGCACAACGAGTATGTTCCATCACCCTGCTTTGACAGTTTCATGTTTTCTCTAGGTCAAGTCTTTGATTGATGATGCTTCATCTGGAACACCCGCCAAGAGTTATGCCAGCATCAATGTTTCTGGTGCAAGTGCTTTGCCAGCTGTGTTTCTGAGCTGCACCACTCCCCCACTTTCTCCACGCAGCTCTTCTGGTTCCCCTCGTTTCTCGAGGCAAAGGACTCCCCCTCCATCTCTCCACTCTCCTCTCTGTTCAGTCAAGGAACCAAAGCCCGAACTCATTCCTCAGGTTTGTTCTCCTTTCCCGACATGGATATAATTTTATTGCATTGGACCCGTGAATTTCAGTCTGGTGTTTGTATGTTCACTTGATTGGTCATTGAAACAGATAGCTTCGTAGGTAGATGCAGGGTACTCATTTAAACCGAGGCTACTAATTTGTAGGTAACACTGATTTGAAGGAGAAAATATCCTTCACTGTGGCATGCTAATAAGGTTACTATGGTAATCCAGTTTAACTCATTACACTTTATATTTTCTGCAGTTCTACTACCAACACGGGCGTCCCCCAGCAAGAGAATTAAAACAGCAATGTATATCCATGGTTGATCAAGTTTTTAGTAACTATATTGATGGACTACGTGTGGATGGTGATTTTTCAATTCAATTTTGTTCATTCATTTTTTTCATTCTGAGGAATATATAACGCAATCTATCTTAGCACTCTTGTTCCTCTTGCAGAATTCAAATCCATTACCAAAGAAGTCTGCAAGCTGCCTTCTTTTCTTTCTCCTGCACTTTTCAGAAAGATAGATCCCAATTGCACTGGTATAGTTACAAGGTAGCTCCATCTATGCTATTTTTTCATATGTATTTTAATAAAACTTTGTTTGTGTAGGTAAAATAGTAAGAAAAATTCGGTGCTTTCCTACAATTTCGTAGTTGGTGCTTTACTTTGTTTGCTGATTGACTAATTTTCCTCAGGGATGCATTCATCAAGTACTGGATCGATGGAAATATGTTAACTATGGACACAACCTCCCAGATATATAACATATTAAGGCAGCAAGGGTGCAAGTACCTCAAACAGGTGTTTTTGTGATTCTTCTCCTCCTTTTCTTCAACCCGTTCTGATTTATTTTCCACCAGTTTCTTCTTTATCAAACCCATTGCACCAAAGATTTTAATATTTCCTTGGTTACTTTTGGCTACAGGTAGACTTCAAACCGGTTCTTGATGAACTTCTGGCAACACATCCTGGGTTAGAATTTCTGAGGACTTCAAGCGAATTTCAAGAAAGATATGGTAGGAATCATTGATATGTGACTTATTGACTTCATGTTAAATATGTTGAAATCTACTTGATATCCTTTACTGTGCTAAATAAGACCCTCCTCGTTATGTTTGATTTATACTTGTACTAATTTAATCCTGTGTTGATTATCCAGCTGAAACTGTCATCTACAGAATATTTTACTACATCAACAGATCAGGAACTGGTTGCCTTACTCTTAGAGAGCTGAAACGCGGAAATCTTATTGCTGCCATGCAACAAATTGATGAAGAGGACGACATCAATAAAATTATTAGGTGAGTTTGTTTTCGTTTTTTATATAATTTCTAATTCAAACATTTATAAGAACTGTTCCGTTATTATTTAGAGGTAAGCCCATAGAATGTATCACATTTAGTCTACTTATCGGCTTATACATATATATATATATATATATATGTGTGGGGTTACAACAGTGCAAAAGTTGAGTTTCTGCTTATGTCTTCATATTGTTTCTGAGACAGAACTTATGCCTGATTTAACCATCCACTATCATGGTCTTTTTTGTTAAAACTTCAGGTACTTCTCCTATGAGCACTTCTACGTCATATACTGCAGATTTTGGGAACTTGATGGTGACCATGATTGCTTTATTGATAAGGATAACCTCATCAAATATGGTAATAATGCCCTTACCTACAGGATTGTTGATAGAATTTTTTCACAGGTTGGTTCCCGAAATTCTTCTTGCCATATCACCTCCTTCGAAGTTAAGTTATATAGTATGATGTAACCCTTTTTATTTGATCTCGATGCCCTTGTTTCTATGTTTTTCTTTTAGGTTCCTAGGAAGTTTACGAGCAAAGTTGAAGGGAAAATGAGTTATGAAGATTTTGTATACTTCATTCTCTCAGAGGAAGACAAGTCTTCCATGCCTAGTCTTGAATATTGGTACACATCTCTCCCCTCCATGTTGATATTTTTTTTTCCTATATGAAATATTCCCCTTGGTTTAAAATTAAATCGTAAATTTGTGTATTGTAGATACTAAAACTGAGCCAAAACCATTGGCATATGTGGACTGTCCATAAAAACTCTCTTATCCTCAGATTTTATTTACTCTTATCATTTTACAGTACTGTTTTTCCATGAACGTAGGAGCCCTGTTTATACTCAGGCGCTAACATGTTGCTCATTTTTCATGAACCTAAAACACTTCTATTGAACCTCAGATATGATATGAGTTCATAGCCTACTAGCCTAGCATGCTCATCTATCTACTACAGGGCTGAGAGTATTTCCCTTGACACTGATTGTGATTGTAATCCTTGGTGCAGGTTCAAGTGCATAGACTTGGATGGAAACGGGTTGATCACTCCAAACGAAATGCAGTTTTTTTTCGAAGAGCAGTTGCATCGCATGGAATGCATAACCCAGGAACCTGTTCTCTTCAACGATATCTTATGTCAAATAATTGACATGATTGGACCAGAGGTTAGTGGCTTTTCATAGTTGTTTGATTTTTTCTAGCTGATTTTGATGTGTTTATATGATTGAAATCATCAATTTGGTGAGTGACTTTACAGAAGGAGAACTGCATCACCCTCCAGGATCTGAAAGGGTCCAAACTTTCAGGAAACGTCTTTAATATACTCTTCAACCTTAATAAATTCATGGCGTTTGAGACACGTGACCCCTTTCTCATTCGCCAGGTACATTTGGCTTTCTTGTGGAGTGTCTATATAACTGCTTAATTGCTAACAACAGTCGGTAGTAGTTTAGATTGATGAAATTAAAACATGGCTGTAGGAACGGGAGGATCCAAATTTGACAGAATGGGATCGGTTTGCTCAGAGAGAGTATGTGAGATTGTCAATGGAGGAAGATGTAGAGGAAGTCTCAAATGGGAGTGCAGATGTATGGGATGAACCACTCGAACCTCAATTTTAGATAAAACTGCGTCTGAGCTCCTAACCACATACGTATATCCATGGACCATGATCAGAGATTTGGAGGTTACTGTTGTTTCCAGACGCTCCTGGCAGTGGAGATTCATTCATCACCAATAATTCCAAGGAGTCTGCCAATTTCATGAAAGTTTTGCATTTTTGTTTCGATTCCAGAGATTTTTCAGGTTGGGTCTCTCTCCTTCTACATAATATGGTGTCGATATTTTTAGTTGGATGGTCTTATAATGACAAAATCAAAGAAAAAATGTACAAAAATATTGAGGACTCTTTTTGAGTTTTTCTACACTTGGTAGTTGGTTTGGACTTTGGAGTTTGAATAGCTTGATTTTGAATACCACCAACTTTTGATAGCTTAAGATTTATTATTATTTTCATGACACTGACCATATTATAAAATTCTTTAGTTATTCGTTACACGTTGCCATTGTTATCTTTAAAATTTTATGTACTCCTATATACAGTAAAACCTCTATAAATTAATACTCGATAAATTAATAATCTCTATAAATTAATAAATTTCTCCGGTCCCAAGTTGGGACCAGTGTAATTTTAGATACATTTCGATAAAATAATAAGATAATAATTTTTTGAAAATCCTTTGTAAATATATGGTCCCATCAATATTATAAATTAATAATTAGGTAAAATTTTCAAAATATATGTATATATAGACAAATTATTATTTTTTAGAGTTTATTTCTAATATTTTACTATATAAAAAATTGTTAGAATTCTTTTTCAAGACATAATAATTATTTTCTTTGTTAATCATTATATAAAATACTAATTATCATGATTAAATCTTATTTTTAAATCTTTTTTTGAAAAAAACTTTCCAAATTAAGAAAATCTCTCTATAAATTAATAATTATTAATTTATCGATAAATTAAAACCTCTATAAATTAATAGATTTTCATGGTCTCAACATTATTAATTTATAGAGGTTTTACTGTAATATGGAAGGTGCAAGTCACGCGTTTTACATGCGCGTGTTTAGTTTGCATATAAAAATTACAGACATAACACGAGATAACCCTAGAAAGATCTCTTCAATCTTCATCTCTCTGGTTCGATCATTTCCGACAAAGTCAAGTGAAATGGCGTCCTTTAAGCTTATGTCTTCTTCCAATTCCGATCTCTCTCGTCGTAACTCTTCTTCTGCTTCATCTTCCCCTTCTATTAGATCATCGAACCATCTCCGACCAAATCTTCACGCCGATCAATCCAGAATCAGTTTCGCTTACGGCGGTGGCAGCGATTACACTTTCGCCTCTGATTCGAAGCCGTTAGATATGGCGATTGATCTTGGAGATCGGAACAGCGTTAACAACGGTAAGAGTGTGGACGACGTTTGGAAAGAGATTGTATCTGGAGAGCAGAGGAGGATCTTGATGAAAGAGGAGGCACAGGAAGATGTAACAATGACGCTTGAGGATTTTCTAGCGAAAGCAGCAATGGATGATGACGCAGCAAACATTGACTCAGATGGAATTGATGTGAAGATTCCGCCGGAGAGACTTAACAACGACGGTAGCTATACATTCGATTTTCCGATGATGTCTCAGCCGCAGCCGCAGCGACACAGTTCGTTTCAGATGATTGAAGGATCAATGGGTGGAGGAGGAATGAGGGGAAAAAGAGGGAGAGTGATGATGGAGGCGATGGATAAAGCTACAGCTCAGAGACAGAAGAGGATGATCAAGAACCGTGAATCTGCGGCTAGGTCCAGAGAGAGGAAGCAGGCTTATCAAGTTGAGTTAGAGACTTTGGCTGCCAAGTTGGAGGAAGAGAATGAGCAGCTTTTGAAGGAGATTGAAGAGACCACTAAAGAGAGATACAAGAAGCTTATGGAGGTTTTGATTCCAGTCGATGAGAACCCAAGGCCATCGTCTCGGTCTTTAAGCAGAAGCCATTCTTTGGAATGGTGAAGGGTGGTCACTTGCAGATTCTAGTGGTAAGACATATATATACTTTTGTATGTGGATAAATAAAACCTATGGGCTTGATTACTATATTGTAATCTATATAGTAAAGTGATGGTGATATGGTTAGTACTTAGTTTACTTTTAAATGTCTCTCAGGTATGTAATGGAGAATACATATAGCTTTTGCTGGTTTATAGATATTGTATGGACCAGACCAGAGGGATATATTCCCTTTTTTTTCTAAATGTTTCCTAATAATTTTGGTGGTGGTTGAGAAATTAGAGAGTTCTTGTTATGTTTAATTAGGCAGGAGCAGAGAGCTCTTCGTCTTGTTTATTCTCCTTGCATCGTTTTAGTAGCTCAAGTTGGCGTCGTAGATGCAAAACCTATACCAAGCAAAGAAACACGGTTAACTGATCATACTTAATGTTGAGTAGAGTCCTCGGCTTCATGAGATAATCTTCAGACTGTCATACATATTTCTTGTCATCTAACCTCTTGTTGAAGCAAAGTCGGGAGGCTAACCATGGAAATGAGCTGTTTCATTTCTTGCAAAAGTGACTGGTCCTTGATACCTGACCACATCTGCGGAGGTAAAGCCAATAGAAGAGCAGTGAACACATCATTCCCAGATGGGTAAGCTACCACCGGCATCTTCTCACCAAGACCTGATGTAACTCAAGAAAACAATAATTTCTTGGTAAGAACTTTGCACACATCTAACTTCAAACATAATTTCCTGAATGCTAGCTAAAAATATGAAGGTATCATTTGGGTTTATAAGCCACAAGCTAGCCTAATAAGTTATTCGCCGGACAGTAGACTTCAAATCTTAGAAAGGTTCAAAAATGTTCATTTTTTTTTCTATTTTTTATTATTGCATGAAGGAAGATAAAGAACAAATCTTCCAAAGAAAATAAATTAAAACGATAGTTGAGGCAATAATAAAAACGAATTAAATACACGTTTTTCAGATTTGAACCAAAAGCTACATTATATGTATCTTGAGACAAACAAATTCCAAACTTTTCATTTATATATCTATTGTCTCATTTATAGATATGATCATAAGTGGAGATCGATTGATATCATTGATCCTGTGTCGGAGATAGAACCACTCATCGATTCTGACTGCGAAGATCCACGTGCTCTTCGTGACGATCTTGAAGACCCACCACCGTTTACAGAATCTTTAGATTTTCTCCGACGAGATCTTTTAGAACCATCTTGGAGAATAGTATCATAAGATTCTTTTGATTTACGTGAAGCTTTTGGGTTTCCACTAGAATGCGAAGATCCACGTAATCTTGATGATCCTTCTTTTGTTGGCGAACGAGAACCACCTAGGTTAGTGCTTGAACGCTCTCTCGACGCTTTTGGAAGTCCGTGTGTCTCACGTGACCGCCTCGACGACTCTACACGTAAACATGCATCTACGCATTATTTCCTAGTCTATATATCCTTTTAATTTTCTTCACTGAAATTTTACTCTATCTTAATCTATATACGAATACTACGTGAAATTCATCAAGATCGATCATATTAAGTTTCCATTTTTAACTCTAAAATCCTAATAATATGGTATATATGCTTCATTTCTTAATAGCCGCAACTAATTTTTGATAGTCAAGGTATCTCTAAAAAAGAGTTACCTTCAGAAAGGCATGAAGCATCCTCCTTGATATTTCTGAGAGGCACCGATGAATATCCACCCGATAGGTTAAAATCACTCATCTACATTTTGAATAAAGTTTAGTTTAATTATGTTTATGTTATATGAAAAAGAAAAAGAAAGAGATGCAATATGTTATATATATATTTATGCATGTAAAATGAAATCATTAATTATACCCAGGTGGGTGAATTTTGATTGAGAGATCCTCCGTCCCAACCAATGTGAGCGATATGCTTTACATCTGTTGGAGTTCCTATTTGCATCTCTGGCTCTTTCTCATTTTCTGCATATGCGATTTCATCATTCACAAAGAATGTTATCTTTAAATTGGGGAAATTATTATAATTTATAAGCTAAGGAAGAGATATATATATATATATATATATATATATATATATAGTGTCTAAATATACAGAGTAACAAAATTAAAAAGGAAAATTAAATAACAACTCACCAAATATTTGAGAAATATACCTAAGACCCTTCAAGAGGTTCTTCATTTTGTAGTTGGACATATATAATGAAAGCACCACCACCAGTACTATCAGAATAAGAATATGAAATCAAAATTGAAAAGAAAACACGTAATTCTTCATTTCCGCTCGATTAAGAGCGATTGTCGATGATTTCCTTATAAGCATTGTGATTTAACATTCTACGACTTATATAACTCTTTTTTTCTTTTTTACCTTTGGTAAGAATTGGAAAAAGAAGTCGAACCGAGAAGATGCTCAGTTATGAACAAAAGGAAATAAGAAGAAGAGAATTTTAAAAGCTTATAATCATCGTTTCTGGTTTTCCAGATATTGATCTAATAACGTGACAAAGTAGGAAAAAAACAAACTTATGAGGCTAATTTTATTGTTTGTTTCTGTATTGTAATCTTAATTTGGTAAAACTGTAAAGAGAGAATCGGCAGTTGTTAGTAGAAATAACAAATTTAATCATTGGCCACTTAGCTATAATTGATACAAATAATATACAGACTAATTCATATTTAGATTCTTCTGTTTACAGAGAGAGAGAGAGAGATATCAAGTTATCAACCACTTTGTATTGACGTCATATTTTAGAAATAAGAAACCGAGATAGACTTGTTGTTATTTTTATAATTTCTTGGAGGGAAAAACTGATGTAACCCATGAGTCATGACGCTAGAAATCAATGACACAAATCGTATTTATATACTCTTTCAACTATGATATAAAAACCGAGGATGATGTATCGGCAAAAGAAAAAAAGGAAAAAGGAAAACTCTAGATGATGTTCAACTCTACAAAGTGAAATTTCCACTTTTCATATTAGAGAGAGTATTATTACGAGAATATATATCTATATATATTATTGACAAAGCTTTATATTTTTATAGGGAAATACACATGTAACATATGTAACAAGAGTACAATGCAGCCGTATGTCACGTGGACCCTGTTATATCCCACACACACCTGACCCAAGACACATATACGTATTCGTAAATACGCATATCAAATACATAATACAAATACACCACACGTGATATTACGTATTGTGTGTGCCCTGTGGTGTCTCGTTTTACAAGACGCAGCAAACAAACAACCAAAAATAGACAGACACTCAAGAAAGAAGCAAACTCCTTTCATAATTTGTCTTCTCCTTTCTGATTGTTTACCCAACACTTAAGGCACCGCCTTAGATTTTCCGACAACGTTGTTTTTCAAACTATATTGGGAAAAAGTTTGATCAGACCATAAGCTATTCATGTATATATAATATATGTGTTTGTGTAAAGAAGGAAGGGGGTAAGAGAAAAGACCTTAAAGCTGAAAACAGAGAGAGACTGAAGAGAGAAAATGGTAGGAAGAAGAGGAAGCCCTTTGTTGAGATGGAGTACCAAACACGGAAACGTCAGCCATGGCTTCTCGCAGTCTGACCTCCAAGCCCTCTCTGCCATTTGCGAGGCTATTTTGCCTCCTGTTCCACTACAGAGCTTAGATCTTGATATGAAGTTGAAGGTTTTACGCAGTGATGCACTCTTATCTTTCTTTAAGTCTTCTCCTGGGTCTCATATTCGACCAGATGAGGTCTTTTCCTCTCTCCAGTTTTCTCTCTTTATCTATCATCTCAACAAAACAAAAGGGTGAAAAAGAAAGATAACTATAATATGCATAAAAGTTTATACTAAGGTGTATATATATATCGTACTGAAAAGATAGATTTTCTTACTTTATCTTCAATGTACAAGTTTCTTTACATGTGTAAATGAAACGAGTATAAACTGATAATAACAGGTCGCAGAGCTGCTGGCGACAAAGGCAATACCAGTGACAGTTAAAGTGGTCAGAGTAGTTTTGAGAATACTTACATTCAGATTGGGGACGTTGCTGCTCTGCGGGTTAGTCTCTCTTGATAAGGAGAATTGGCCTTTTCTTCTCAAATTCTCTGATATCTCTCTTGAGAAGAGGGAGAAGGTTCTTCAGAGATGGAACACACAGTGGTATAACCCTTTAGCAAGACTCGGTTTTATGATGATCAAAGCCATCTTCTTATTCTATTACTTCACATGGGTAACGTATTCCATCTTCCTATGCATCTTTCTGTTACGAAGCCATTTGGTTTCTTTAGAGGTCATAGAAGTTTGTATGAAAATTTCCACTAGTATGAGTGTATGACTGTGAACATAAAAGGTGCAAACATGAACCACTGGTCAAATATACTTTAATCATGGTTCCATCTATACTTTTCTTTAACCAGCACGACATATGCCATATTTCTTACCTGTGTATATATATCTTTTTTTCTTACTAAATCATATGTATGAACAGACCAATGAAAATACAGAAAACCCAGCATGGGATGCAATTGGTTATAGAGTGGACATGGGTGAAAACGAGGGCATGGAACACAAGGAAAGACCTCTAGAGAAAGGGATCATCGAGACTGCTGAAGTAGATGAGATGACCATCAAGCAACGTATGATCAACAAAGGTCTTAAAGTCACAGAGGACAGAGAAAGTGACACTTACAAGATCGAGTGTGATGCAGTAATTGTGGGTTCTGGCTGTGGTGGAGGAGTTGCAGCTGCAAACCTAGCAAAGTCAGGCCTTAAGGTTGTAGTTCTCGAGAAAGGGAACTACTTTGTACCCAGAGACTACTCGGCCCTTGAGGGTCCTTCCACGTTTGAGCTGTTTGAGTCCAATAGCTTGTTGATGACTCATGATGGGAGGTTCCGGTTCATGGCAGGATCAACTGTGGGTGGTGGCTCTGTGGTAAACTGGGCAGCATCCTTAAACACACCTGATGCTATCATAGAAGAATGGTCAGTGCAGCGAGGGATTGCGATATTTTCTAGTGAGAAATATAAGGCAGCGATGGATAGAGTCTGCAAGAGGATAGGTGTCACTGAGAAAATCATCAGAGAAGGGTTTCAGAACACGATTCTGCGGAAAGGTTGCGAGAAGCTTGGTTTGGATGTGACAACAGTGCCAAGGAATTCAACAGACAAACATTATTGCGGTAGTTGCTCGTTTGGCTGCCCAACTGGAGAGAAAAGAGGGACAGATTCAACCTGGCTGGTTGATGCAGTTAACAACAATGCCGTGATCCTAACACGGTGCAAGGCTGAAAAAGTGATCTTGGCGGATAACGATGCTCACAAAAGAAAGGAGAGCGGAAGGAAAAAAAGATGTTTGGGAGTTACAGCTTCTCTATCCAACCGAACCAGAAAGAAGCTTGAGATCAATGCCAAAGTGACAATCATAGCTTGTGGCTCGCTTAAGACACCGGGGCTGTTGGCTTCGAGTGGGTTGAAGAATCCAAACATCGGGCGCGGTCTCCATATCCACCCTATCCTGATGGCTTGGGGCTACTTCCCGGAAAGAAATTCAGACTTCAAAGGAGCGGCTCATGAGGGAGAGATAATGACTTCGTTACACTATGTACATCCAATGGACTCTACCACACCTAACATCACACTAGAGACTCCTGCTATAGGACCAGGTACGTTCGCATCTCTCATCCCCTGGGTCTCTGGGTCGGACATTAAGGAGAGACTTGCCAAATACACAAGAACATCTCATATTTTTGTCATGGTGAGAGATGAAGGTGTGGGAGAGGTGAAGGGAGACATTGTCAAATACAGATTAACCAAAGCAGACGAAGAGAATCTGACCATTGGGTTAAAGCAAGCACTGCAGATCTTAGTTGCAGCAGGAGCAACGGAGGTGGGCACATATAGGAGCGATGGGCAGAGAATAAAATGTGATGGCATCAAACGTGAAGAGCTAGAGGCCTTTTTACATACAGTGAACGCGCCAGCCGGAGTTGTGTCGATGAGTAAGCATTGGACTCATTCCTTTACAGCACATCAGATGGGATGTTGCCGTATGGGTGCTTCAGAAAAGGAAGGAGCCATAGATGGAAAAGGAGAGAGCTGGGAGGCAGAAGATTTGTATGTCTGTGATGCAAGTGTTCTGCCTACAGCTCTTGGTGTTAATCCTATGATCACCGTTCAGTCCACTGCTTACTGCATATCCAATAGAATAGCCGAGTTGATGAAGAAGAAGAAGAAGGACTAAGAAATTGTTAAAAAGTTTCAATCTTTGTTGATTCGTTTACTGTAATGAATAAAGAGAAGCAGCCGTGCAGATTAGCACTTGGAAGATGCTGATATCGTTCCTTAGCAACTAAATCAAATTCAATTCAGCGGTCAAGATCAACCTCTATATAAATATAAGTATTACACAACACATCCTCTCGATTCAGGTTCTTTTAATGCTACATTAGTTGTAATCAATTCAAAAGAGATATTTACCTCGACAGTTTGCAGTTTCGATTGTCTAGTTACAGTAGCAAACGCGTCACACCACTCAAACGCAATCGGTATCTTCCACAAACTCTAAAACACAAAAGATCAAACGATCAACGGGTTTCCTCGGAAGAAAAAGTGTGTGTTCAGCGTTTATGAGATCTATAACTGGCACTGTACAAGGTCATCAATATAATTTGTTTTCCCTAAAACGATGATCTTGGATTGGTCGAAGCCGGAGTTCGAATCTCGTTAATACTGCATTCGAATCTAATATCAATCGACCAAGTTCAAATAATTGGAGCAAATTTATCAAAATTTGAGATTTTCTTTGTGGTCATGTATATTCTAATACGATTTCCGATCAAACTAATAAAACGATCTACTACGGATCCATCAACACACAAGAAAAGTTATATAATTTAGGGCAGTTCAATCTTTCTGAGTTGAGAATATTATAATCCATTGACTAATATTTCTGATATACAAAAGACGAACATCTACCTCAACAACAAACCCTAAAAATTTCTCAGTCAATTTCCGAGGAAGAAGATGAGGAGAAGAAGAGAGAGCTTTACACAGAGAGACAAGAGGATTTTTTTAAAAACATTTGAACAGAAGAAAAAAGAGAGAGAGAGAGAGAGAGAGAGAGAGAGAGAGAGAGAGAGAGAGGAACGGGAAGGTTCCGGTCTAAGGCTGTCTCGCTTGCCGGGCGACAACCCAATGATCTGTCTCCACGTGGACACCGGATTACGCCGATCACAGTTTAAGAAATCGGGCAAGCTGGGCAGGATTGACGATGCCGGGCAAGTGGGGCCCGTCTGACCGGAGAAGATTTGCAACCTCCGTGTACCTCTTCCGTTTCGGCTCACTTTCCCCAGCCGGCTCATTAATATGGCTCGGCTTCACCTTCCTGGCCTCGACTGACTGGACTCGAGCCGGGTTCCATTGCTCTCCGAAGAGTGTGCCGTTCGTGAGGAACTCGTGGCTCAGATAACCGGCTAAAATAAGCTGGTTCGAGCCGACCGGCTCGGCTACTGCGGTTGTAGATTTTCTGGAAATGGGATTAACCGGCGGCGGAGGAACAAGATTTGGCGGTGGAGGAAGCTTCTTCACGGCGATTTCCGGCGATTTTTCTGTGACGGAGGAGATGGCGCCGTCTCTTTCTTTGCGTTTATCCGCCGTTAGAACGCGACGTGGGGGAAGACGCATCGTTTTGGTGTTCATGGTGCTTCTCTATTGGATGCATGCCACGTCAGCACCCAATTAAAAAAAATGAAATATTGACTGTCGTAAAACAGTCAAATCAAAATGATCCGGGTGAAAGTGAAAAAAAAAAAAATTCAAAAGTTTCGAGATTTTTTTCTTTAATTGCGAGAGAATATAATCGGAGCGCTTAGAGAGAGAGAGGAAGAGAGAGAGAAAGGGATAATAGAACGAGAAGGGATAACAGAAAGGTCACGGGAATGGGTAGGTTACGACAATTTATAAGGGCTGGAGGCTTAGATTACCCTTCTATTTTCAGCACAATTACATGAATGCCACTCTATTTGCATTTACTGAATTGCCCTTTCGTTTGCTTTACCGTTTCTTCAATTTTGGGTTACCCATTGAACCTAAATTGACTGATTTGTCCTTTTTGTGTAAGTCTAATAAAAAAGTAGCAAGTAATAGAAAACTACAAAGAATCAAATTGATTTAAGTTTTGCTTCTTTGGCATAAAGTTTTACTGAGTACGAGAGAATTTTTTTTAAACCCATTAAAAGTAAGCTTCAGAATCCAACCAATCCTTGTAAAGTCATACAACTAAAAATATATCAAAATATTTGTATATTATATGAATATACTAAGAATGAACCTCTTATTTCCATCATATTTTCGCTACAAAAGCAACCATAACTAAGTTTGATCAGTATTTTATGAGATTCTGAAGTCAAAAAGACTATTATGTGATTTATCATTTTTATTTATTTATCAATCAAACATCTGTGTGGATTCATGATTTATACCATATAATTATTTTAAATAATACAATCATTTATAATTTTGCACTAATCTTAATTTTTTTCCTTATTCAGTGATTTTGTCATTTTTATAATTGTACATCGTGGAGTTGGAAAAAATAAATCTAAAAAGATCAAACCACATGCATCTTTCATCAAACAGTTCTTGCAACGTTTGTGAGTGCAGAACAAGATGGACAAATAAATATAACTATTTAACTTTTAGTTACTTTTTTTCAATTGCCATAAAATTTCCTTTTTCTATATGTGGCCATATGTAAATGCAGAACACGCTAAAACTGTTAGGGAGAAATAAAATTGATTCAGGTTTAGACTTTTTCCTCGTTTACTTTTTAGTTATTTATTTAGCACCTAAACATTATAAAATTTCAACGATGGCGAGAAACCGATTTCAAGAAGCGACCAATTTAAGACAAAAACTCATGTAGTTTAATGGTAATGGTTGATAAAACTATTCATTGACATTTTAAATGACAATTATTAATCCCTTGTCAACAGGTTTTGCAATTCATCTTAGTTTCAATAAAGAAAAGTTATTAACATCACAATAATATATTTAAAACCCATAATAAATCAGTTAAGGAGTAAAAATTTTGTACTTTAGATTTATTTGAAATTACTATGTTAATCATATACTATATAATTAATCTATTTCTTATGAGATTGTGAAAACTGATGTGTCTTTGGATAGTTTGGCATTAAGTTTGCCACCTTTCATCCAATAGACTGAAAGAATACTGCAAAGTTTAAGCAAAAAACAAGAAAAAACAAATGAATGCATGTCTACTATTTTAAAAAGGGAGGCAAATATGGAAAAAATAAAAGGACCAAATTTGAGAGGGACCATAAAATTGACTAACATTTAATTTCGATATATAAAGTATTAACTCTCTTATAAAAAGTTCAAAACTCATGTTCAACCAAACCATCAAACCACCTAATTATGCTTTATTCCCTCTCTCTCTACCAATTGCTTATCAAAAACGTAAAATCCATATAAAGTAAAAAAATTTCCTTTTTATTTTTTACTATTTTACTTTTAACTTGTTATGAGGTATGGTAAGAATTAAGCAACAACATACTCAGAAGTCAGAATTGTTCTGTATCTCTCTCTATTGAAACGGAAGAGAACAAATCGCACTTGAAGTTAAAAAAAAAGAAAAAAAAAACTCTTTCAATATAGGTTTACTACTTTCGCCGTTAAGATCAAAGTAACTGCACTCTTGTTGACCCAATATATCATATGCTCGTGATAGAAAAAAAATCACTAAAGAATACCTTTGCGTGAGAAATATAGAGAGCAATGAGAACTGACTGTTTTGAACCTTTTATTTTTTTTTCCTTTTAGTGGAAGAGGAATGCAAACGAAGGAATCAGTCATTTTGCTGTAACAAAGTTTCAAATGAGAAAAAAACAAAATTGGTTAAAGTTTGTTGTTTTGTGTGAAATCGAATAGATGAAAAAAGAGTTGGAGTGTGAGAAAAAAAGATAAGTAATGTGACCTCAACGAGGAAATTTATATGTACTGGAGCAGCATATTAGCAGATGTGTTCCTCAATCTACAACTTTGTCCTAAGTGAACATCCCCGAAACTGTATCTGTATATTTCGTTTCACAATATAATTACAGCAACCAAATCAGTAAATTACAGATTTCAAAATAATAGATAAGATAAGAAACTTTTAATGGGAAGAGGAGAGTGAAACCTGTATTCACAGTATTCTTGCCAAGCACAACAGGCTTTCCCATAATCCCAGTAGCAATCCGCATCTCTAAGTGGCCCACGCTTGGCTGCAACATGGTATTTACATTTCCACCCAGAAGCAATAGGAACTAATAGAAGAGCAATATTTTTTTTTTACCTTTGGTGACAAATTTGGACTTCGCACCAGGCTGAATGTCATGCCACATCTGAAGCCATAACTCCCGCATCAGGACTGGAGATCTAACGATATTCCTGTGATTTGCTGCACAACAAATAATTACCAAAAAGTCAAAAACCAATGCAAGATTCTCTGAGAGCACCTTTCATATGTTTGTTACTCACTCTTATCAAGCTCCCAGACAGCAGTTCTCTTTCCTGGAATGCTTTCAGAGTCTTCATAAAAGGTTATGTACTTAACCCTTGGTGCTTTTGTCATGTTTGCTATGATGTCAGACCCATGCTCATGTTCAACATTTAGCTCCACATGTACATCACTTCCATCGTGTTCTGGCTGTTGATGTTATTTTCATAACCCAATGAGAATCTCTTTTCACAATATATGAGTTCTTGAGATGTACAGAGATGCATGATTTTTAGAAAGGACAAATTGGTGACTCAACATACAACCAGAAAATTGCACTCAAAATTCAATGTATATAAGGTTAAAAACTAAAAAAAGTACCTGGGGAGCCATTGTTATGTTAACTTTAGGTCCAAGCCAATTCTTGCACCAAGAGAGTGAATGATAAGGTACCTATCAGAGATCAATTTCATAATCAGTAAAAGTGGCGGAGTCAGTGGCAGTGTACTAGAAAACATTGCAAGCAGTGTTCCAGACGCAAATATTGTATTAGTCATCAGTAGTTTTACAACACAGTATTTTGAAACCCAACTTCTGCGCTTACCGTCTCATCCCCAGTTATAGGTCCAGCATTCCCATCAACCAGAGTTCCAGACCTGCAGATATTGCAGCAAGAAGATATGAACAGGTCTACAGCTACTTCAACAAAATGTTTTAAAGGACCACTACTCCTAAGCAACCAAATTTCAGAAGTGGTATTTATTTGATATAAGGTCATGTTTAATGCAAAAGTATTACACCTCTGTCTACTTTAAGCCACTAACCATCCACTAAGCTCAAAAGGAATTATAAAAAGTACTTAAGTTCTTTAATAATTTGCTTATGCAAATGAGATAACATGCCACTAGACTGATACAGAAGACACTGCAATCCTGTTTTAACTTCTGCCATCGTGGAAATTTACCTTGACACAAGGGAACCTTCAGTTTCGTAAATGACATCAGTGATGATCCAATTATCAGGATAAGGTTTCCCACTTGGGGCAAAGTAATAACCAACCTACCATAGAGAGTATCATACATTTGATTTCTTTAACGCTTTAAAACATAAGATGCAAGGGAGATGATAAATACGGGGAATGCATCATACCTCTGTCTTTAAATGAGCACCATATATGCAAAATACATTTTTTATAGGTGGTCTCTCCCAAGGGGTAAGAGGATTAAAAACAGGGTCATCATGATACAACCTGCAAAGTACACTTACCATGTTATATATAATTTTATTTTGAAGTTTAGCAAAGATTTGTAAAACAATTAGTCCCTGCCAGAGTCAGAACAAACTAGATACGTACTTCTTTAACTGGTGTAACATTCTCTTGCTATCTGGGTCGTAGTCTTCAATTGCTTTGAAAAGAGTCCCATCTGCTAGTTCCCGGGCTGTGAAAGACAATAGTGTGGGAAGGCCACATTCCATGCTGGTCATGTTGGCTAGAGCTGTTTCTGTAACTGATGGATAGAAATCAAAGGTACGGAATATAAGAGTGAACATCTAGTTAGGTGACATTCTTGGTGTACTTTTTGTTGGTGTTACAGATGCATACACAGAATCTTACCACTAGTGGAAGGAATTTCAATGTTAATGATATTCGTCGGCCAGCCAGAATATTTCGATTGATATTCCTCGTCATCACAGTGGTATGCACGCTTATCTTTCTTTGCGGCACCACCAGAAAAATGTGTCCAGAATGTGTTATCACCCTTGCAGTTCTTTGAAAATGGCATAAGCCACAACGAAGAGGCAAAAGAATTGGACAACAATCGAGCAGTTCCCTGAAGCCTTGCCAACAAAAAACATGAGAAGCGCATGTCAATATGTCGTTTCTGAAAATTAAGTCAGTGTACACGTGGTTCGGCTGGATTAGCAAATGCAGCTGACAGGTATACCATCCACAATATGGTCTGACACTAGCTACTTTAAGATCTACAGATACTATATCGAGCACAGCAGTTCAATTAACAAAACTAACACTTTCAAAGGTAAAATTCATTGAAATATACGACCTGGTGATAATCAACTACGTAATACTAAAAAGAAGTCAGAGGTCACCTCAGAAACAGGAAGGCCAAATGTTACACCAGAGAGAGTCGATTTAATTGCCTCAACTGAACCAAGAAGAGGAGCTCCTAAATCAACAAATCAGGTATTGAGCTCAATACCATAGGTCACAACATAACTCCCCAAATAAGAGAAAAATGAAAATGGCAACTTGAGGATATTTGGCCTGTACCAACAGCAAAATAAGCATGTATATGCTGATCAAGCCACTCCAAGTAATGTTTTGGTGCAATTTCTAGCCTCAGCCATTCGAGAAAGTATCTGAACACATTATTACCCATTGAATGGGCAAATACTATAGAAGGTCCTCCACGGAGCTTAAAAGCAGTTTCAAAGGTCAACCTGCAAAAGAAGAAGACCAGATGTCTTTGCTTATCTAACATCGGAAAAAGGAAAGGAAAATATATAACGACTTAAGCCTGATGGGGACTAACTTGAGCTTGTGAAAGTAAAGGTCACGCTCTTCCAATTTGGTTGGTGACAATCTCCAGTCGTATGGAACAGCGACAATTGCATTAGCTTCTATTCCAAATTCAACACACCACTTAAGCCACTCTTTCCAGACAGTAGAAAGAGGACCTGAACAACAACCAATTGATTTACTTAGCCATGTTATCACAACAAAATGAGCCATATTATCAGAGCAAAATGATTTTCCAGCTTCAAAAAAACTCGAAAGAAAGAAGAAAAAGTCAAACGTACCTGTTATGTAACCTGGATCCAATTCTGTGATCGCTGAAAGACCACTGTCAGGCCGTGATTTACACTCGGGATGGTCCGTTTGATTATAAGGATCTAGCACCATACACTTAAACCAGCAGTTGACAGCAGAAAGAAGCTGTAAACCATCCATCACGTAAATCAGTAATCAACAACCAAATGAATCAGTAATCACATTATGCTTGTAGAACGTTTGGCCGACTCCACGATTGGCAATTCCTATAACCAGAAATATGACCTAACATTTGCTAATTACTATGGAGCACTCTTCTCCTTGATCAGTTTGCAGATTTAGTTGAACAAAAAAGAAGAAGCGAAGACTAATTTCATATTCCTCGTGCAACATTCAGTGAACCAAAAGCGATGGAAACAAACTCGCGGAGTCGGCTGTTTTCTATGACTATAATCTCAGATTAAGAAATATCAACAAGAGGCGTCAATGTTGACAAATTAATGAATCAGTAAGAGAGATGAGACATGCTTCATTGCGATACATCACTTGGAATTCATCAAGAAGGAACTCGACCGACACAATAGGGAGCGAGAATCAAACAACGGGAAAGAAGATCACGTACCTTAGTAGTGTCTAGCCACACGAGGTCGAGCGGATTGAAGTCCAACGGAGTGTATGGACAGTCAAGGATCGACCACGCTCGCAACTGCGTCGATGCGAATCCCGGAATGATTATACCCGACAGTTTCGAGTAGTCGCCGTGAAACTCGGTCTCATCCTCCACCGCAGCTCGGCCGCCACAAATCAAGAAAAAAACGGCGATGACGGTGAAACAAGCCGTTACCGATTTCAAATTCGCTCCCATCGTTCGCGATGTCTCTAACTACTACTCATTCCATCGCCAGAGTTTAGGAGGAAAAGTAAGAGAGAGGAGAGAGCGTGTGTTGCTGTTGGGGGACCTTGGAGGTAGAGTTGAAAAGTTTTTGGAAGCGTCACACTTTCCAAATATACCCCTAAGACAAAAACCTTCGGCACCATCTAGAGGGTTACTCGCCTACTCCTTAATATCACGACGTAACTAACAAATGGGCTTTATTGGGCCTTTGAAATTGAAAATTAAAAATATTTCAAAATTTCGTAACAAACGAGCGGGCGTTTTTAATCACATTTTCTCCCGCTTAATCAAAGCAGAGATCCCCGCCATTTGATATCTATCGTACACGTGTCCCAATATTCTCAAAGTAAATAGCAATCGCATGGAGACGAAACGAGGAAGCGTCTTACTCCTCTCTTTCTCTTGGGCATCAATATCTTTTTCGATCTGGTATTCGTACACTAATGGCGGATTTTACCAACATGCTGATGAATCCATGGGTTCTTCATCTCCAGAAGCTCGAGCTCGAGCTCAAGTGCCCTCTATGGTTCGTCTTCCTTCTTTTTGTTCCTTGATTGTTTTTGTTCAATTAGTAGTGATATGTTTCATGGTGTTCTTGGAATCGTAAATTTCAATTACATATCTGCAGCTTGAAATTGCTTAATCGACCGGTGTTGCTTCCCTGTGACCACGTTTTCTGCGAGTAAGATTATCTACAACCCTCTGTTACTCTTTACCAATTAAGTACATATTTGATTTCAATTAGGTTCTGATACTTCTGGAAACGATTTGACAGTTCATGTGTACAAAAATCTTCGAAAGTTGAATCAAGCTGTGCTGTGTGCAAATCTAAATATCCCAAAAAGGGTTAGTCCATTTAATGTTCGTATATTAATTTGTCTCTCTCTTTGAAGATTCGTGTTGAGACAGTGTAAGTTTTACTCTCACGTGCAGATCGGAGAAATCTCCATTTCATGGAAAGTGTTATAAGCATATACAGAAGCTTGAATACAGCTGTTAGTGTTCATCTCCCACAATTACTGATTCAGAATGATTGCAACTACAAGAGCGATGCACCGAACAATTCCAACAGCCCAAAAGACGATGGATCTGAAGATTCTGAGATGACTGACAAGGAGGCAAGCAAGCTCAATCGTGGTAGTGACTCCTCTAGTCATGATGGTTCTCCTCTTGCAACCTCAGAAGATAGACCTAAGCATCAGCATTGGACTGCAGAGAAGTTGCGTGATCATCTCCCATTATATGAGTTAGAATCAGAGAATGACGCTGGCAATCACGTAAGAGCATATATATATATAATGATCATTTTTATTCATCTGGCAACATTTACTGATGCATATATTGATATTTTTTACCTTGCTATATAGACACCGGAAAGTCATAAAGGACAAGCTGCAAAAAGTCCGAGTGACATTATCTCTTCTGTGCAGCCTAGCAATGCTGCAAGGAAGCGGATTTGTAGTGATTCTTTTGTCCATGAAAGCAATCCGAATTCAAAGACTCAGGATAGGACTTTGCTGCGGTTGATGGAGAGCCTCCGGTCAGATGATCCCACTGATTATGTAAAAGTACAGAAACATCAGGTGCATTCTCGTCTTGTTTCACAAGCTGACCATTATGATTCATCAGTTCAGTTCATGAATTATGATGCAAACTATGGGGTTTTAAGTTTTGTATAGTGAATCTGTTTTCCTTTGTCCTGTCTTTGAGATCAACTTATAAATGTGTATTGATCTTTTATCTCCAGCAATTATCCGAACGTCATGCAGAACAAGACACAAAAAGGAAACGTGACATTACTGCTTCTGAAGCATTGGAAAATCATCTGAAAGTCCCCAAGAGAGAGAAAAACCTGATGCAGAAAGCTGCTGATATTGACTGCAATGATAACTGCTCTGCAAACTCTGATGATCAGCAAACTGGGAAAACCTCAAAGGCATCATATTTTACATCACCTGTAATTTCAGATCAACCATCATCCAACATAACCATATGTGGCTTCTGCCAATCTGCTAGGGTATCTGAGGTAAAACTGAGCTTTCTTTGGCATATCCTCGGCTAAAAACTGAGCTTTCTTTGACATATCCTCAGCTAACAACTGAGTTTCTTATTTCTGATGTATTACTCAATTGGGCTGAATCAATATTTTTAGGCCACTGGAGAAATGCTGCATTACTCCAAGGGAAAACCAGTGGTTGGAGATGACATCTTCCGCTCCAATGTTATCCATGTCCACAGTGCATGTATCGAATGGTATACATAATAAAACCCACAACTTATAGTTGCTCATCTTTGATTCTGCAAGTCCATGTGCATAAAATATGGCTAGGCTGTTAAACCCTTGTGCATTATAAAATTACTAAAAGCAGTTGAATAAATGTTCAGGGCACCGCAAGTTTATTATGAAGGTGACACAGTGAAGAACCTGAAAGCAGAACTGGCAAGGGGAATGAAAATCAAGTGCACTAAATGTAGTCTGAAAGGGGCTGCCTTAGGCTGCTATGTCAAGTCGTGCCGGCGAAGCTACCATGTTCCATGTGCAAGGGAGATTTCCAGATGCCGTTGGGATTATGTATGTTTTGCCACATTCTCATTTGCACATAAGAATTACTAACCAAAGTTCCAATCGTAATGTGAGATTGATTTCTTGGTCCTTACAGGAAGACTTTCTTCTACTTTGTCCGGCTCATTCTTCTGTCAAATTCCCTAACGAGAAGTCTGGACATCGTGTATCCAGAGCTGAAACCTCGCCAAAAACGTATAAATCATTTTCAGCATATAATGTTAAAACTTACAGTATGGCATTATTCTTCTTATAATAGCAACTAATAAATATCATTACCTCTCTCCCTCAGGTATCCTAATGAGCTATGTTCTTTGGAAAAAACACCAGCTATCACAAAAGACCTTGTTCTCTGTGGATCAGCACTCTCTAAGAGTGATAAGGTCAGTACAAAGTTTCTCTTACAAAAAGCAAAAAACTCTGTTTGTGGATTTACCAGTTTTGCTAAAGAAAAAGACTAATTTTATCATTGCATTGCTATTCCCCAGATCCTCATGGAAAGTTTAGCTGTTAAATTCAATGCAACTATATCAAGGTACTGGAACCCAACTGTTACACATGTAATTGCTTCTACAGACGAAAAAGGAGCTTGCATAAGAACTTTGAAGGTTCTTATGGGTATTCTTAATGGAAAATGGATTATCAATGCAGATTGTAAGTTAGTTTACCCACTCAGGAGTTTTCATGATCTTTACCTTTTACCATTAAGAAGTCTTCATCTTTACCTGTATCAACCGCAATTGTTTCTAGGGATGAAAACAAGCCTTGAAGCTTCTCTGCCTGTTGATGAAGAACCATTTGAGATTCATATTGATACTCAAGGATGTCAAGATGGACCGAAAGCTGCAAGACTTGGAGTAGCAAGTAATGTAAGTAAAAAAAAAAAAACCAAAACAAGTTTGAAAGTGCTTTGTTCGGGATATCTCACTCTTTACTTTCTTTGTCGAGCAGAAACCAAAACTCTTTGATGGCTTGAAGTTCTATTTCTTTGGCGAATTCAACAAAGGATACAAAGAAGACCTTCAGAATCTAGTCAATGTCGCTGGTGGTAGAGTCTTGAACACAGAGGATGAGCTTGGTGCAGAAAGCAGCAACAATGCCAATGACCCAAAATTACCGATTGTGGTTTACAACATTGATCCTCCACTTGGATGTGCCTTAGGTGAAGAAGTCACCATTATTTGGCAACGAGCTAATGACGCAGAGGCTTTAGCTAGCCAAACTGGGTCTCGGATCGTTGGTCACACGTGGCTTTTGGAGTCCATTGCTGGTTACAAGTTACACCCTGTGATAAGCTAACTTAAGAGCAATAGACAAAAGACATGTTTCAGTTTCACCATATATATACGATTGTTTTCATCTTGTATTCTAAATTATTGTAAGATAACAAAACAGATTCGAATTGGTAAGCAAATAAATTGAATTGTTGGCTTGACCAGATTTGGACTGCAAACAGAAGAGACGAGTGAGTTAGGTTTGTAGCAAAATCCTTTAAAATCTAGGAATTGTGTCCACAAGAAAGTTAACATAAAGAATCTCGAAACTATAACTTTATAAAAATCAAAATTTGGAAAACTTACCGATTGATGACAAATAGTAATAAATGTTTTTTTAGGGATTATTGAAAAAATAAATTGTAACGAAAGAGTAAAACTAATGTAATGTGCAACGGACCAATTACAAAGCTTTTGACAGGATTGGTGGGTCAAAAGTGTAACGGTCACTTACTTTATCCTCCGAAATCATACAACAATTAAAAATAAATAAAAATTGGTAAACAAACCCTAAATTCCCAATTCCCAAAGTAAACACTTTTTCCCCCGCTCTCTCTTCTCAGTGATCGTCCCCACCAACACCAACACCAACACCACACCACGCTCCTCAGTTTCGATGTCGACCTATTTTAATGCTTGATCAAATACCTGGAAGCCACACTAATGCACCACTCTTCCTTCATCTCTCGCTAGACCTTGAAAATTCTGGGAATTATGGGTTGCTTTTGGGGTTGCTTCGGTGGCCGGAAGCATCGCCGGCGTCAGAGATGCAGAGAATCCGATCAAGCTAGAGAAAACGTAAGTTTCCTGTGAAAGTTTCTTCCGATTAGTTTGTGAGCGTGTTTCTTTTGAATTGCTTCAGTTACTCTACATTTTAGTTTAGATCATCTCTGTCTTTATCCAAGTTAACTTCCATTGATTTGCTTGACCCGATGATTGTATTTGTTATGCATAGAAACTCTCTGTGGAATCTGCAAAACCATTTCATGTGAGTGATAGAGTTCCCTCTGTTTGCGAAATCCCGAAAGCTTCTGTGATTCCAACCACTGAGATTTGGTGAGTGTGATTGATTTTGTTTTGTACCTTTCCTCTAGATTCAAGGTTTTTGAGCTTTGTTCTAAGCTTATATATATATATGCTGATTTTACAGTGACGAGGCTGAAGTGAAATGCATTCCAAGCCCTACTAGGAAGAGAGTCACATTTGACTCTAAAGTCAAAACCTATGAACACATTGTGTTTGAAGAATCTGTTGAATTCTCGGAAGAGAGCACTGAAGAAGTCAAATCTGAAGAGGGGTCATTCAAGTCTACCAAGACTGATCAGTCTTCTTCTGAGATCATTGAGGTTGTCTCAAACTCCTCAGATTCGTATCCTTCAAACCACAGATACAAGAACTGCAGAGAAAGCGATGATGACATAGAGGAGGATGAGTTAAACTGCAGTGAAAGTGATTTAGATGAAGATGAGGATGAAGAATATTACAGTGATGTTGGATTTAGTGAGGATAGCCTGTATAACCCAACCAAAGAAGTTTATACTGAAGAGACTGGGGATAAAACAGAGGAGATTGATGCAAAGCTGATAAGTTCTATTGAGAGTGTTCGATATGAAAACCACTATGAATCCCAAGGAGTACTCAACCCGGTTGAAAATCTCACTCAGTGGAAATCCGCTAAATCCAAAGGGAGAACAATGCAGAAACAGTCTCAAAAGGAGAACTCTAACTTCATCTCAGATCAGCAAGAGAAAACGGATTCCTCTTCTTTCGGCACAGACCCGCAGATTGATGATATTACACTCAGCTTCAAACCGAAATCCAGAATTGAACCCAAGAAACTGAGAAACCAAGAAGTGGTCATTGATGCTAGCCTTTCAACATGGCTATCAACATCTGAGACAGGTAGTGAATGCAACAGCGTCTCTATGTATACCTCTACACCTGAGAAACACAAATCTAGCTTCTCATCAAAACCGGTCAAAATCAACCATGACGATAGACCTGTACTATGCGCATTGACATTGGAGGATATCAAACAGTTCTCGGCTTCATCGACGCCCAGGAAATCACCAAGCAAGAGCCCTGATGAGACACCGATTATAGGCACAGTTGGTGGTTACTGGGGTAATCACTCAAAGGCAATGGGTTGCGGCTCTGTATCTTCATTCAAGGGGATACCGAACACCACCAGCAAGTACAGAGAGGTACGCATCAACAGTTAAACCACCCTGTCAGACAGTAAGATGTCTGATACTGATTATATCACTTTGAAAACCAACTGCCATGAGTGTAATAATTAATTACTAGTCTATGTTTCAAGAGAATGAGAGTTTTGTGGAACTGCAGGATAAGAGCGTAAATTGGCATTCAACACCATTTGAGGCAAGACTGGAGAAAGCTTTGAACAGAGATAAATAATGGTGCTGCACTCATTCAACACTTGTTAAGTTCGTAGTTGGTACTGTAAATCATTGGTTGATCGTGTCTGATTTGGTACTGGTCAATAAACTTTTGTAATTCTCCAGTCTCTCTTGATATAAAATGACACGAAAAGGGGGGAAAAAACAAGAATCAGAAACAAAACTGCTTTCTCTTATTCGTAGGTTCTTCTTCTTGTTCAAAGATGACAAATCAAAGTTTTGTTCTGTTTTGATCAGGCGACATAGTAGATTGAGTTAGGGAGCTTGAAGGTTCTCTTGGGAAGAGGACAGCCTTCGAAGCTGCTCCATTGGTCTCCCATCACTCCCCAGACTCTGTAACCAAGACTCGTTAGCCATGTCCTCTTCTCTGACTTGTACTGTTTCACTTCCTTTTGCTCATCTTCTAGCCCCCTGCATTGTTCAGTTTTCTTGTTAGCGTAAACTAGAATGATTTACTAAGAGGGGTGTACAAAATCGGTTTTGTGGTAAATTAGAGTGAATATATGAAATTTTCAATGGGTTTTTACCGGGTTTAATTCGGAGTCCGGTTTAGTTATACGTACCTGAGCATCAGGTTGGACCAGCCATAGTAACCGGCTTGGATGAGGTTGTCGACGGTGGCAGATCTGAGATATTCTTTTCGGGAAGAGATCAAGAAGATCTTAATGCCCCTTTCTCTGATCTCGTGGTACAATTTCTTCATATGTGGTACTGATGGTGCTTTGCTCTTCCTTATCCAATCCTCAAATTTCGTCGAGTTCAATTTCTCTCCTCTGTTAATTATCATGAGAAAAACGAATAAGATTACTCCAATGTGTTGTTTTTAATGATCTAAACCGAACCGAAATTAAATTTAACATCTATCTAATCAGAGAGATCCAGCCCGGTTCAGTCCTATCCAAAGTGAAAGAGATAACACATACACACGTCAATTAAAACCGGTTAAGGTAGAGATTATAATAACTGACCCGAAGAAGCCATTTTTCTTGTGGTAAGGAATGGTAGAGAGAAGAGTGTCGTCGATATCAAAGATCCAAGCGTCCATACCGTCACACTTATTCTTGCTACAACACATGCTCCCGAAATGAAGAACGACCTCGTCAACGGCTCTGGCAACGTCATCCTTGTACTGCGAAGAAGTCATGTAATCCTCAATGTGCGATACACACTCCTGAGGCACCACATCGAAGTTCCTGATGTTGTTAACTTCCACGTTAATCCTCCAGCTTTCACAGTAGCCTTTCAGGTTGGTTTTGACCCCTGAAGAAACGACGGCACCGTTTTGGCTTGATGACGATCTGAGTCCTTTGAGCTGGTTCAAGATGTTCCAGTCACCAGCTGAGACGACTCCGACCAAGAGTGAGGCTAGTGCTAGGGAAAGAAACATGGATCGGTCCATGTTTGAAAGAAAGAGTTTTCTTTTAATCTTGAGATAGTTCGTTGATCACAAGTGTGTGTATATATATATACATATATATAAGTAGAAGAGTCATAAGAGAACCAAATAGAAAATTAATATCCAAATCTAAAACCATGTTTGTCTCATTAAATCATTTTTTAATATCTTTTTTTTTGGTCGGAACCATTTTTTAATATCTTGATTGTAGTTTTGTATTTTAGCTTTTACAACTTTTTTTTTTATTGGAGGCAAAATTATGAAAGTTTAGCTTAATATGCGGGAGAAAAAAAAAAAGAGAGAAAGATGTGGATGGATAATGAAAGATAATATTAGCTAATTAAGAGAAGTATGATTGTATGAACAATTGATCCCCTCGATTAGTGGCGATATAATTTGCAAGAAAAAGCATAGCATAATGTATTTGACTATCGGCACACATGGTTATTGTAAGTTAATATTTGAGAAAAAAAAATTTAAAATTAAAATGGATGCAACATGGAGAGCTAGTTGGATGATAGTGTGAAATAATTAATGCAATCAAAATCAAACAACTATTTAACACACTTTTCTAACAATTTAAATCGAACGACCTAATCAACTAAAATTCTTGTTCAAATTAGGCAACTGTTATATACTTGCACCGACACTATATATATATTTTTCTCATATCTTTACAATCGAATCACAAAATAAGATTCATAACCATTATCCAACACAAATTGTAACACAGAGAGAAGTTAAACGATCGAGTCTCCATTTTTTTATAAAAAAAAATTTCTTGGCCTAATGAAAGGACAAGAGACATATAGATCTCGAGGAAGGTGGTCGTGGTCATGTTATGGTGACAAAATTGATTGGAAGATAGTTGGAATGGATGCACATGGACTTAAATATTTTTAATAAATAAAAACCGGTTAATATATTGAAAATTTTTGGTTTGCTAGCAACGAATAACGATAGATGTAGACAAATCTTATATAGTTTTAAATACACTAAAGACAATTTATGCATACAGAAGTTGCAAAACCATGATCCATGTTCCTTATGAACGACTCTGCATGCAGACTTGTTTCCACTTGCCATTTTAACTTACATGTACCATACCATGTTCCTCATGAACAACTCCTTTTTTTATTGTATTATAATCCTGCATTTGTATAGATCAATGTGGATCTCTTAATTGAATGATTTAGTGAAACACTGTATTTATCTTCTCCAACATCTCATCTAATAATGTAGTTTCCACTATATCCGTTACGAGTTGACATTAGAAACACTCAGTTTTCCAGCAAAGCACGTATACGAGATCGATCATGCACCGTTGGACTACAATTTAATGCATATATGTTATTGTCAACTGCCAGTTCATCTATAAAACGAATAGAATTGAAATGTTACATCCTCCTAACTTTTTTTGCCCATAATTTTATGTTTTTTTGGTGTTACATCCAACTTCTGTAAAAGCAAAATAATCGTTACCCTAAGAAGGCAAGAAGTGTATAATGGTCAAAAATCAAAATAAGCAACACCGTTCTAGAAAAACACACATGATGAGAGGGTGATGAATTGTTTATAGTTTTTGTTAATCATGATTTGGAACGTTAATCACATTCTGACGAATTTCATCCATAAAAATAAATTAAAAATTACATATAGTGCGAAAGTTGTTCAACGGCAATTTGAGCTGGCATCACTTATTTCAGATGAGCAAAACCATGTGCGGTAAACACAATACAAATCACTGTTTCCATTTGTAACGATAGAAAACAAAAAAAGAAGAAGCTGAAAACTAAAAATGTACAAAACTTCTTGTCTATGCATGCATTGGTCAGAGTAACTAGTTCCGAGACAGTAAGGTAAATGATTGTTTAAGAGAGATTTATAGTTCAAGATCAAAATTCTAATTAAATGAAAGTCACAAGACCCTCCAAGTTATGCAAAGTCATTGTTTTATCTGATCTCACAATCACCAACTTAGCTTTTTTTGTTCAACCTACAAAATCAATTGACCGGGACCAGTTTCAGTTTGTTAACTAAGAGATTCTCATTCACCAAAAATTTCGGTCTCATAGTTTTTTCTTCATCATTCTCCTCCTCTCATGCTCTGAAACATAACAAAATTCAAAATACATTCAGTGAGATGTGCAGAATTGATATTAGTCAGTCCCATGTAAAAGAACAACCAAACTCTAGTAGAGTCTTGTGATGATCACTCACTCTTTTATCGCTTCATGGTCCTGCAGAATCTGCTACCACACAGACAATCAAAGGGTTTCATCAGAGAGTCATCATCGTTGAAGTCAATGCCGTAATCCTAATAATGCCAAGTCCATAATGCACATTAGATCAACGTATATACACATTAAATTGTACAATCCTTTTCCATCACTTATAGAAACTTCTCAGCATAAGATAAGCATGGACTACATACCCATGTGAGTTCCTCCATTGCCTCGATGTCTCTTGTGGTGAAAAATGCAAGCTGGAGAAAATTTCAGTTAAAACGATTTCCACAAAACAGAAGAAACATATGAGAAAAGGTTTATAAATGAGACCAGACTCAATCATACATGATAATAGTGCTGATCCGGAGTCTCAACACAAACTGGGATCTCGATCAAGTTTGCATCAAGACATCTACACACATCAAAGGACAGAAAGAAACATCAGTTTAATATAGAGAAAAGGCCAATTCTGTTCTGTGTATTACTGCGAGGTGCAAGCCATTACCTGTGGTTAAGGAACCTTGCAATATTTCCATAACACGACCCATCAAGACACAGAGCTTTGCCATCCTCTAACCATTCTTCAGAACCCCAGTGTGCATCCAATATCACAGGAAAACTGAGTTTATCTTCGAACCTACGTTGGTATGACTCTGGGATTGTCAATATTTCTCCAATGTACTCACAAATAAATGCCCCTTTAGGCAATTTCTCCAACGTCCTAAGGCCCCAACCTTTCCCATTCGGTGTGTAAAACACCTGACATGAAAACAGTGATTGATCAAAAGTGGAAACTAGTTGATTTCTATGAAAAGATGAACGTAAAACACGAAAAGAGTTGGTTAAGGTAACCTGTAATTTGTTGTGTATTCCTCTTTGTACCACTCGGTTACCACATCTCTTAGTGCAGCCACATTTTATCCAACACTCTTTAATGGCTTTCCTCTTCAGATGCCCTTTACATGGTTCCAAAATCACTTCTTTTTTAGCTCTCTCGAGTGGGCACTCTTTACAGAATTGCAGCACCTGCTTCCTTTGATCAAGCGCCTCAGAGATCCGAGCTTCCAAGAAATCCTCTTTAACTACGCCATCTGCTGTGTACGCAAACCTGTTAGCAACCGAAATTGCACAATTGCAAGGCATTGATGAAGCCAAGCAATCTTCGATACAAGAAGAGGAACAGCTTTGCTCATCAGAGAAACTTGAGAGTGAGAATTTCACTGGAGCATCTTGAAACACAAAGCTCCGAGGCATGTAACGGAAATGTGAAGGAACCTCCTCGTTGATCTCATTCACCCATGGAATCTCAACGTTTTCTTCACCAACGGTAATGTCCTTTACATTGTTAATTGCTCTCCAGCCATCAGCAGAGATCTCACATTCAGGAACAACTACCAACCCCATCGAAACACCAGCTGCACCGCTCTCATCACCTACCTTACTCATGTCACACAGGGTTTCTGTTTCAAGTGACTGATTGGTTGAATTCTTTGCCAAGTCTATGTAACAGCTGCACAAGTCCTTCATGAACCCAAGGACTGAAAACTCGGGGTTCACAATTTTGTATGACTTGAGGCACTTCTCTTCCATTGCTCTCCGTAAATCCTCCATAGAAGGCAAACAAAAATTCGTTGTTTCTCCAGTTACAGGCGTGAAACTTAGAAAAATCTTTGCCTCACCAGAAGCCGAAGAAGCTAATTCAACTGAAGTAGCAGCAGCAACCATGTGTTCACTAGTTGATGGAGGAACAACCATGACAGTAGTATCATTGAGAATATCTTCATTTTCTTTATCTTGTTCTTCCACATGCATCTCTGGTTTCTCCATCTCAATCATGGGAGCTAAACAGTTCCCTGTATCGAAATAATGTAAAGAAGTGTCAAAAGGGATCATTACAAGAGACAGATCAGATTAAAATGCAAAGGCTTCAACATCGCATCACAACCACATAAAAATCAATACAAAAAAGATTACTAAGTTTTATGTTGCATTCGTGAAACAATACCTAAAATCACAGGCTTATGATGGGTATTGGAATTATTATTGAGGATAATAACAGCACCTTCCTCAGAGTCTTTTTTAACTTGTGTCGGTACAGCTGGCAATGAAAGTATTGGTGGTACTTCTTCGGGCTCCATTGGCATGAGACTGCTGGAGCTAGGACTTGCATTGTTATACACAGTCATTGCCATCCCTTTTACACCACCACCTCTGCGTGAGTACCTTTTTAAAGGTGGTAGTTCAGTATCATCATCTTCATCTTCCTCTTCAGCCTGAGTCTGTCTTACCCAAAAAATAAATAAACACAGGCTACATAATAAAACTGAGAAACCCGAGGAACAGATGAAATACATACCTTGGAAGCCTCTTTATTTGGCTTCAGTGATATGGGACTGCATGTGCTAAGGCTTGCGGTGTTGTTACAACCTCTTCCACGTTTTGAGCGCAACCTCCTTTTCAAAGGAATTTCTTCTTCATCCAGTTCGTCTTCAACATAACTCACCAAAGGTAGACTCTGCTTTAAAACCAAAAAAGCAACTAAATGTTACATAATGACAACAAGCTTCTAATACAAGAATGATATTTAATTGATAGGCCTCAGGAGCTATCTTCTTTTGCAAAAACATCCTAATTCCTAAAGATTAAACAAGCAAGATCATCAAAAATTGAGAAAAAAAACAAAGGAAGAAACATCCGGAAATTGTCATCATACCATGACAAGTGAACTTTTGGCCTCCTCTTTCACTTCCTTCTTCTTCATATCAGTGGCCTAACATATGACATTTAAAGTAAGAGAATTGACTTAGCGAGTGTATACGAAAAAAATCAAAATAAGGAAAATCATAAGTGAGTGATTAACCAAAGAAAGCAAACCTGAGCATCTGGCTCGTCGAAGATTGCATCAACAAGGACCTTGTAATTTTCATCTTCTATAAAATCCCATTTATTGTCATAGGCCTTCAGAAGGTCCTTGAGGACCAACTTTACTTTGGCCTCTGAAACTCCAAAAACCTTCATGGCTTCACAAGCATTTTTAATCTTGGGATTTGGTGCCATTTTCGAAAGTCTCTGCAACAGCAAAGTCAATAAAATCACCGAACTTTCAAAAACTTGAGGAATAATACTGAGAAAAGGAACAAAAATGGAAAATTTCATCTTTTCCCCCAGGTAATGAAGAAGAAACCAAAGACGAGGAAAAGGTTAGATAAGTAACGAAACTAATGTGACTCTCAAACTCACCAAGTACTTTTTAGTTTTCACCCACCACAAAAAATAAAAATTGCAACTTTTTTTGCTGAGGGAAACCGAACAGACAACGGTAACACAGGAATGTAGAAAAACCCTAAAACGTTTTTGTTGATATCCAAGAGAAAACGAGTAAGAGTCTCGAAATTATGGTGGAAACGAAATAAAATTGAAGCGATTGCAAAAACTGGGAAGAAGTTGCCAGCAAGAGGAGCAACTCTGAAACTGGATTTAGGGTTGGATTTGGCGTGAGAGAGAGAACTGGATTCTTGAACTTGCAAAGAGAGATGGGGGAGTATGTAGTGACTTACTGATACAAGATGGAGAGGCTGTCGTAAATGCAAACCACAGGGCAAAAAGTGTTGAATGCTGGTGTTTTCTTTCTTTTCTTTTTTTTCCGATCAATGTCTCTCTCTGTTTTGAAGAAAAGAGTTTTCAAAACTTAATAAAGAGGAAGATAAAAGAGGATACTCTGGCCGAGGTAGAGACTGTCAAGTGCTGGGAGACAAACGCACCATACTTTAGAGCTGTCAAAGACTTTCTCCTCTGTGTGAGAGTGAATGAAACAAATGCAAAAAACGCCATAAACTTAAAGGAGTAAAAGGATTAGCGATGATGACTTGTGAAATTTTCAAAATTGAATTTTATGTTTTTAATATTTTCTCTATCTATCCGTACTTCCGTATTGTCATGTAGACGGTGTCGTCAGTCTGGCTGGCTGATTTCACTCATTTGAATTGACTGATATATTTTATCACTCCTTTCCGTGAAGTGGGCTTCCTCAGGTATGGGCCGGATACTAGTAAGGGATCGAGTTTAATCTTCGAGTTAACCATAGAATTCTAACTGAATAAAAATTTGTTCTATAATTGAGTAACCATAGAGTCTTCTGACAATCTTTAGAAATCCATCAGTATATTATGGATTTAGCAAGCCAGCCAAAACATGAGATGGATACAAATACACCGGGGATCCACAAGGTTTTATGCTAGACCCATGAACAAAAAGTCACATCATCAAGGTTTTGGCAGTCCATTAACGGGTCTTTACATGTTAGGGATGCTGTAGTAATCATAACTGAGTGGCACGAATGCCACTGAGAAAGTTTATCACCACCACCTATGAGTTCGAAATCTTTTAGCAGCTGTGTATGAGTTTAACAATCCTCATCAACCAAACTTATGGCATAAATATAATCACTTCTACATGAAAAGCTCTGTTCTTACATAGTTATATAATATAGTTATAGTGATCAAGCCATAAATTGCCAAACATATAAGTTAATTCCAAGAATGATGCCCAAACACAAGCTTGAAAAATAGCGAATTCACTGAGACGCTAATAGAAGAAACAAGCATGAACAATGAACATACCAAATTTGAAATATGATACGATCGACAAATTAGGGTTTCTCAAGATAATTTAGTACATCGCACCGGCCGCTGGAGTTCCGAGAAGGCTGGCCTGCTGAAATTCTATCTCGCTTAGTTGCTGATCTCGCTCCAACTCAATGATCAAAGGCACCACGAGGATCAGAAACGTCGTGCCGGCGATCCACGCCGCCTTCCCAGTGCTCTTTAACAGCTTCTTTGACACGTGAACGGCGTCGCACGCGGCGCGTCTTCCTTGAGAGACGATGCCGTAGTTTGTAATCGACGCCAAGTTGCTCGAATCTCTACCGCCGGCCCCGAATTTCTTAGGCGCCATTGCTTGGAATCGAGAGATCGAGACTATGTCGGAGCACAGACGAGGGTTTTGCTCGTTTAATGAAAGGGTTTCTCGGTTTTAATTGGTGGGTTAGTTGGCCCATTAAGTAATCTATAGGCCCATATCTTAATGAATTGTAACGGCCCATATTGAGTTCCACGGATCTTACTGTGCGCCGACCAACACGATATACGCGTCGCCTTTTGTTTTTGTATATCGTCTCCAACCCTATACCCCTCTCTTCCTTCAAACGAAACAAACCCCAAAAATCAAAAAGCTGTGAGCTCTCCTTCTATTGAAGCCACTTTGGAAGAGAGCATCGACTAGTTGGGAAGATTTCTAGTAGCGAGCTTCTTCTTCACTTCGCGAGGTTAATATCCTTCTCTCGTTTCTACTAATTGGTAATAAACCTAGGGTTTCTCATTAGCTCAGTTTTATTGGGTTTCTGATTTTGTTCGGATTGCGACATGCTTTAGCTTTTCATGTTGGAAAACTCCTTATACTGCTTTCCAGATTGTAATTCATAGGAAGATATAGTGAATTTCGCTTTACTCTGATCTTCGTTTTGCCTGTTTGAAGTTTGTGGTTCCGGCACTCCTCTTGTTTTCTACACTTAAAATATCACTATTCTGTGTGTTTTGCACTGATTCCTTTCTTACGTGAACTTTGTTTTCTGCTGTTTTATAAAGTTATGGGAGACAGCGAGGCCATGGTTGCCGAAGGATATACTTCTGCTGCATATGGAGGTTATAATGCTTCTTCTGCCACTGAGGAATCGACAGGGCAAGAGACTGCACCGAATGTTGATCCATCACACCCGGTCAATAATGATGCTTTGGTCAATGGGACTGGCCATGGAGTTGAAACTGTGCCAGCTGAGAATGGAAGTGTAACAGATAATGTGGCTGTAACAGCTCCAGCAGCGGAGCATGGAGACAATCTTGGTAATTTCTCCTTCTTTTTATAGCTTGTATTCAAGCACATCATTACAAATTTAACAGATTCGGAACTGTGATGATATTATTCTTGCTTTTTCCTCCGCTGTTGTTACAGGCTCTACTCTCTCACCAGAAGAGGAGCGCTTGTGGAATATTGTAAGGGCTAATTCCTTAGAGTTCAATGCTTGGACTGCCCTGATTGAAGAGACGGAGAGGATAGCTCAGGTGTGTGTGGATTTTCAACTTTCCATGTCTTTTGCTAGGATTTATCATCAGTTACTTAGTTCTTTTGTGCAAGTTTGATGATGTTTTTCTTGCTGCCCTAATTACAGGACATTATAGCAAAAATCCGAAAGGTGTATGATGCTTTCCTAGCTGAATTTCCTTTGTGTTATGGCTATTGGAAAAAGTATGCGGATCATGAGGCTCGAGTTGGGGCAATGGACAAGGTGGTGGAGGTTTATGAAAGAGCAGTGCAGGGAGTGACTTATTCAGTGGACATCTGGTTGCATTATTGCACTTTCGCCATCAACACATATGGAGATCCAGACACGATCAGAAGGTAATGAATTCATATCCCTTGTTCTTCTAATTGTATGTGTATTAACAACTTGGTTGACTTTCTAATTACCTAGACAGAAATTGTTTTTTACCATCTAACCCTTTTCTTAGATTGCTACAGCAAGTCCTCATTTGTGGCGGAAAGATCTGATGGATTTTTTTTTATAAATTACTTCTTTTCTTATGTGCTTTAAAGTAGCTTTCAGCTTCCTTCCATAGCTATCTGATATTTTTACCTGAAACTGCTCCATTTTTTCCGTGCTCTATGCTTCTCTGGTTTCAAAATTTTGAAGTTAAAATATACCTGTTTTAATTGTCACCGTCCCTCTGAAGTGCATCCATATGCAAAATGCTGCTGGGAAGATGTCAACCAGTTTTGGGCTTAGGTAGTCCCTGACTGCTCGATTTTGGCCATGGTATGCTTTTACCAGGAAGGTAAATGCAGTGTTTGGCAGTATCATGCATTCAAAGAGTGAATCCATTTCTCCATAGAACTTGTGTTTGTCTTTATTGGTTGGATATGTCTGTGTCTTTCAGCTCATCTGACATTCTTTTGACTATAATGCTGCTGCAGGCTTTTTGAACGGGCTCTGGTTTACGTTGGAACTGATTTTCTTTCCTCTCTATTGTGGGACAAATACATCGAGTACGAGTACATGCAGCAGGACTGGAGCCGACTTGCGATGATATATACCAGAATATTGGAGAATCCAATTCAAAATCTTGATAGATATTTCGGCAGGTAACTTTAGTGACTTACTTTATCATTTTCGTCTGTACTGAATTGGGTAGAGTCTTCTTTCGGGTTTATATTTTTTTTTGATGAGTGCTTGTCTTGCTATAGTTTTAAGGAACTAGCTGAGACACGGCCTCTATCGGAACTCAGGAGTGCTGAGGAAGCTGCAGCAGCAACTGCTGGTGTTGATACTTCTGAAAGTGCACCATCTGAGTCTGGTGGAAAGGCAGATGAAGGACAATCCCAAGCTGATAGTTCTACCGAAAAATCCCCTAAACTGGAAAGTGCTGGTTCAACTGATCCTGAGGAGTTGAAGACATACGTTGGCATCAGAGAAGCCATGTATATCAAAGCAAAAGAGTTTGAATCCAAAATAATTGGCTTTGAAATGGCTATAAGGAGGCCCTATTTCCATGTGCGGCCTCTCAATGTCGCTGAGCTGGAGAACTGGCACAATTATCTGGACTTCATAGAAAAGGATGGAGATTTCAATAAGGTACTGGGGTGCTTAACTCTCTTATATGTGAGCGTAAAAGGCTTTGTAGATTAAGTTGTACCTCTGTAATATTATTGACCTACAGTTAAGTAGTATCTGGTGCATCATATGCTTGATTGGGTTTCCATTGGATCAAGCAACTTTTAAATGGGAAATAACTGAGACCAAAGCATGGGGCTCGATTTGGTAACTTTTAAGGCTAAGTACTTCAAACTCTCAATTTGTCAATGGATATTATAGGTAAACGAGTTATCTTTGTTGTTAAAGTTCCAATGTTATTAATGCAGGTGTCTTCCTAACAATCTGTCTGTCAGGCATGGAGGGTCCCTCTGTATGTGAGGGCCCCTCTGTTGGAATTGTAGAGTATTTCTTGTGGATTTCTCCTTTGTGCTTTCTATGTGTACATGTTTTTTTAACTAGTGATTATCATATATGTTTTAAATTCGATTGTATTCTTCAATAGGTGGTCAAGCTTTATGAAAGATGTGTGGTTGCCTGCGCAAATTACCCAGAATACTGGATTCGATATGTATTAAAGATGAAAGCAAGTGGAAGTACGGACCTTGCAGATAATGCCCTCGCTCGAGCAACTCAAGTCTTTGTCAAGGTACGAAATGTGTTTCTCCAAACCTTTTTGGTTATTCAAATTCATTAACTATTAACTTTGTAGAATAACTTGCTCAGCTCTGACCCTCTTATTTATTTTTATGCTTTCTTTTCTTTGATAGAAACAACCAGAGATTCACCTTTTTGCTGCTCGATTGAAAGAGCAGAATGGGGATATAGCTGGTGCAAGAGCTGCATACCAATTAGTGCACTCTGAAATTTCATCTGGACTTCTTGAAGCAGTAATCAAACATGCGAACATGGAGAACCGACTAGTAAGCTTCCATGGTGATTAAAGAACTAGTATAGAGTTATATCACTGTTTGTTTCCCTGACATGTCTCCTGATTTTATCTGCAGGGTAATCTGGATGATGCTTTCACTTTGTATGAGCAAGTAATTGCTGTTGAAAAGGGGAAAGAACATTCCCCATTACTGCCACTGCTGTATGCTCAGTATTCAAGGTTTTCATACTTGGTAAGTCACTAAGGCGTTATACTACTGATTTTTGCATCGTTATGATTTTGTTTTCTTGACAGAGTATATGGTGGTTTGGCTACTTACTTTTCTCAATATTACTTTCAGATTTCCAGGGATGCTGAGAAAGCTAGGAGGATTTTAGTCGAAGCACTTGACCATGTACAACCATCAAAACTTTTCATGGAAGCACTAATTCATTTTGAGACAATTCAGCCACCACCAAGACAGATTGATTACCTTGAGCCACTTGTCGAAAAAATTATCAAGCCAGATGTTGATTCCCAAAACATTGCAAGTGCCACTGAGAGGGAAGAGCTATCTTTAATATATATAGAGGTAACGGAAAAGAAAGAAGACAATCCTTGCATGAACATCTTGTATCTAATTCTAATACCCAAATGTTAATGGCTTTGTTGCAGTTCTTGGGTCTTTATGGAGATGTGAAGTCCATAGAGAAAGCAGAAGATCAACATGCGCAACTGTTTTTACCTCGTCGGAGCACATCAGAGCTGAAAAAGCGTAGCGCAGATGATTTTCTCTCATCAGATAGGACAAAAATGGCGAAAACATACAATGGCACTCCACCTGCTCAGCCAGTATCCAATGCATATCCAAATACTCAGACTCAATGGTCTGGTGGTTATGCTGCGCAGCCTCAGACTTGGCCACCAACACAAGCTGCTCCTGCTCAACCGCAGCAATGGAACCCTACTTACGGTCAACAGGTAAATACCAAAGATAGAACCAAACCTATTTCCGTTCTTGCACATGTGCTTTTAATCTTATTATAGTATTTTGAATATACTGTGTAGGCTGCTTATGGTGCATATGGGGGATATCCCGCCGGCTATACCGCCCCACAAGCACCACCACCTGTGCCACAGGCTGCTGCTTATGGTGCATATCCTGCTCAGGTAACCAAAATAGTTCTTCAGTAACCGAAATTCTTAATTAGTGTATTTTTAAATTAGGAAGGTTATAGGATTACAGGGAGTAGCCACTAGTTGTTTAGATTGGGTTAATCTTTGACTACTAACTGGATCTTTTCATTGTTAAAACGTTTTCAGACATACCCAACTCAGAGCTATGCACCTCCAGTTGCAGCTGCAGCACCAGTGGCTGCGCCGGTGCAGCAACCTGCTGCTGCTGCTCCACAAGCTTACTACAATGCGTACTACTGAACTGATTCACTGTTGCGGGTCGTTTTTGTAGCGAGATTTATAACCATTTGCTTTACCTACTCAAATTTTAGTGTCTGAATGTTTACTCGTCTCTCTTTTCTCGATCAGTGACAACAGAATTTTACATTTCTTCAGTTGCGTGATCCGTAAAGGTTCTCGGGTGTAGCTGGTTATCATTACAGATTGTAACCAGAGAATTAGAATTGATGAGCCGGTTAGTGCGGTTAAATTACCTTAAGTTTATCTTGCGTAAGAAAAAGGAAAATTGGAAGAAATCAGAGAAATTAAAAACAGAGCAGCAAAACAATTTTGTTATATTGAAAACCTTTAATATTTTCTGGAATATGAAGCTTATTTATCTTACGTATATTATATTTCTCTACAAGTTCTTAAAAATTCAAATTTTATGTCTTATATCGAACATCTATCTTAAAGTTGACTTTATAGTTTTTTTTTTTTTTCCTAATTGACTTTATATGGAAACTTATGGGGTAAATTTGTACTCTTTTAAAAGATTTTGTGGTAAATTTGCAAACTTTTTAGATATATTTGAGAAAACATGATTTTGTGTGCGACTGTCCAAGTTTCTCGTGTTCATCAGGTCTCTTGTGGCATTTCTTCGAAAAACAGAGGTGATAACTTCTCCCCCAAGGTAGTCTGCGATGTGTAGAATTTCATAGGACGGTTATATTTAAATACTCTCTAAAGAAAAAGGAAAAAAAAAAATATATATATATATATATATTTTGTTGATTCCGAAGGCTGGAATGCTACAAAAGCTGACATCTTTCATCTTCCACATTGGGTATCGTGAGATATGTTGGGTTACAAATGTCTCCACTGGAACAATGTGACAGATCTACCGCCATTAAAAGACCCTGGAACCTTCTCCCTTCCGTCTTCCATTCCCCAGTGGCCTCCAGGTAACTCCTCTTCCATCATATTCCCCAGACTTCTCTTGTTCGCGATTCAGATTTCAAAATATTCAATTCTAGGTTTTGCTTTCCTCGGCAATGCCAAAGCTTGGTGTTTGTTTCTCGATTTTTGACCCCAATTTCCTTAAATTCAACTGGGTTTTTCAATCAGATCTCTGTATCCACTAATCTAATCCAATAAATCAGAATCCTTAAACATGTGAAAGATTCTTTAGAGAATGCGATTTTAACAATGTTTTGAAAACTAATTAGGTCAAGGCTTTGGCTCTGGAACAATCAATCTCGGCAAATTAGAAGTCATCAAAATTACGAATTTTGAATTCGTATGGCGATACAGATCCGTAGAAAAGAACAAGAGCATGTCGTTCTACAAACCAGAGGGATCGTTGCCCAAAAACTTCCATTGCTTAGGTCACTACTGTCAATCTGATTCTCATCCTTTGAGGGGTTATGTTCTTGCGGCAAGAGATTTAGTTGATTCATTAGAAGAGGAGAAAAAACCTGCATTGGTGGAACCTGTTGATTTTGTACTTGTCTGGAGCTTGAATGATTCTGCAGAAGAACGTAATGATACTAACGAATGCGGTTACTTCTGGTTCCCGCAGCCTCCTGAAGGGTATAGAGCGATTGGTTTTGTGGTTACAAAGAATTCCGCGAAACCCGAGTTGAATGTAGTTAGATGTGTTAGAGCTGACCTTACTGATAACTGTGAAATCCACAAAGTTATTGTCACTGCTGTTTCAGAATCTTTATGTGTTCCTTTGTTTATATGGAGAACTCGGCCTTCAGACCGCGGGATGTGGGGCAAAGGTGTCTCTGCAGGTACTTTCGTTTGCAGAACACGGCTTCTTGTTGCTAGAGAAAATCTCAGTATACGTAATGCTATACCAAATGTTGATCAAATTCAAGCTTTTGATTTAACCCTATGGGGTCCTACACTAATCTTTTTGCAGGTACTTTCTTCTGCAGAACTCGGCTTGTTGCTAGAGAAGAACTCGGCATTGCTTGTCTAAAGAATCTAGCTTCGGGTTTACACGCAATGCCAAATGTGGAGCAGATTCAAGCTCTGATTCAACACTATGGTCCTACGCTAGTCTTCCACCCTGGTGAAAGCTACTTCCCTTCTTCTGTATCATGGTTCTTCAAGAACGGTGCAGTTCTCTGCGAAAAGGGAAATTCGATCTATCAACTTATCGAAGAAAATGGCTCGAATCTGCCTCCAGGAGGAAGCAATGACAAGCAGTTTTGGATTGATTTGCCGTGTGATGATCAACAAAGAGATTTCGTCAAGCGAGGAAACCTTGGAAGCTCGAAACTTTACATTCACATTAAGCCTGCTCTTGGAGGAACCTTCACGGATCTTGTCTTCTGGATTTTCTGTCCTTTTAATGGACCAGCGACGTTAAAACTAGGACTCGTCGATGTCTCATTGATCAGTATCGGACAACACGTCTGCGATTGGGAACATTTCACTCTCCGAATCAGCAATTTTTCCGGAGAGCTTTACTCAGTCTACTTGTCTCAGCACAGTGGGGGCGAGTGGATCGAAGCATACGACCTAGAATTCATTCCCGGAAGCAACAGAGCTGTTATTTACTCGTCCAAACATGGGCATGCAAGCTTTCCTAAGGCTGGAACTTACTTACAGGGATCGACATTGCTTGGGATTGGGATAAGGAACGACACTGCGTGTAGCGATGTCTTTGTTGATTCGAGCTCACAGTATGAGGTGGTTGCAGCGGAGTATCTAAGCCGGGAGGGTGTGGTGACAGAACCGCCTTGGCTGCAGTATATGAGAGAATGGGGACCAAAGGTTGTGTACGATTCAAGGGAGGAGATAGAGAGGTTGATGGATCGATTTCCGAGGACAGTAAGGGTTTCAGTGGCCACCGCGCTGAGAAAACTTCCAGTGGAATTGTCCGGCGAAGAAGGTCCTACGGGACCAAAGGAGAAGAACAACTGGTACGGCGATGAAAGATGGTGAAGAAATCTCAGAGACTGTAACGGGCTAGGACTAGGAAAGATATGGTGAGATTACCATCGGAGCCCTAACTTGTAAAGGAAGAAGAAGAAGAAGAAGCAGCTTTAATCACGGAAAGGTAATTACAATTAGCGTAGGATCAACGTAAATCTTGTCGTTAGAAGTGTATACACGAGGGTCCCATGATGTAATTAAATTAAACAAACAAACTTATTAATTAGACGAACAAACCCAAACCAAACGCACACATTCGTCTACCGTTTCCGCTTTTTCCTTTTCTCCTTCTCTTCTCTTCTCTTCTCTCTCTCTCTCTCTCTACCTGAGAAAAGTTTCCTTCTTTTGTTTGATCCGTGAATCGAAGTCGCCCCCTCGAATCAAGAGAAAAGACCTCGTTTTTGCTCTGGGATCCCTGCATAACCTGAAGATTTATCTTTTGGCGTTAATAACTCTGTCTCGAGATTTCAGAGTTGTAAGAGGTATTGAAAAGTTGAAACCTTTTTATGGGTTTCTTCAAGCTTGATCGATGATGATTGGATTTGAATCAAGGGTTCCTCTTAGCCACTCAGTGGCGTTTTCGTCTTCTCTCGATTTTGTGTTTTCCTTTTATCGGTTTTGGGGTAATGAGTGGTTTCGAATATGTTTGTTTCTCTAGTGGCTCGGTGATGATCGGAGAGAGCGACAACGCTGCACTGTCTTCTGAGGATTCTTCATCCCCTGACGATTCGGTGTCAGAGACAGAGCTCGACCTAGCTCTGGGTCTTAGCATTGGTCTTAATGGTCGCCGGAAGGTTCGATCTTCTTTGTCTTCCTCGTCTTCTTCTCTGACCAGAGAAAGTGGGACCAAACGGTCTGCTGATTCTTCTGCGGCTGCGCGGTAAAATTTCATCTTCCAGGCTTTAAAATTTCATGTGTATGATTGGTCTTGGATCTGTTTATTGATAAGAGCTATATAGAATTCAAGCAAGGTATAGTTGTAATCGAAGGTGTGTAGAGTGAGATTGAATTAATCACAGGACTAGAGCACAATAGAGAGTTCTCTTGAGTTATAATTGTGGATTACATTGGTAACGTTAATTATCATGTCAGGTTGTGTATTGCAGTTGCCTGTTTTCTGATTTATTCATTTCATTTGGCAATGGAGCAGACAAGTTGCCGTAGGCTGGCCGCCTCTACGGACTTACAGAATCAACAGTTTGGTCAACCAAGCAAAGTCATTAGCTACTGAAGGCGGCTTGAGTTCTGACATTCAGAAGAACACAGCAAAAAATGGAATGGTGGCTGCGAAGAATGCTGATGCTTGCTTTGTCAAATCTATGCTTGTGAAGGTGACCATGGATGGAGTTTTAATTGGAAGGAAGCTTGATCTCAATGTTCTGGATTCTTATGAAGCCTTGGCGAAAACTTTGGAACAAATGTTTTTCCAGATACCTTCTTCTGTAACAAGTCAGTTTCTATTTCTGTTTCATGTGACTTATGCTTTTCAAATTCCGTGTCTCTTGAAATTGACTTGTTCAATTTGTAGGGACTATCTCACGAGGATTCAAAACAGTCAAGGAATTACATGCTTGTGAATTGCTAGATGGCTCATCAGACTATATTATAACATATCAAGATAAAGACGGAGACTGGATGCTTGTAGGAGATGTTCCTTGGCAGTACGTGTTTGCGCTTAATATCTTCCCCATTTATCCTCTATATTTGTTCTGTGGCACATTGGTTCGATTTAAACGATCTTTTCATTTTCTCAGGATGTTCCTCGGGTCTGTTAAAAGACTGAGAATCATGAAGACATCAAGTGAAACTGGAGTTGGTAAGTAGAGATTCCTATATAGCAAAAACATCAATGTCCTGTTTCAGATCGATATGAAGGTGAATCATATTCTGTCAGGTGGAAATGATCAATGATGGAAGTGGAACAGAGAGATATGAAAAGACAAGAATACAGATATATTGCTATACTTGAAAGAACACCCAGGGTTCGTTCCTTGTTTCTTTAATTTAATTTAGTTACATGTCTTTGGTCCGTAAATTGTGAATCACCTTCAGATATATAATTGTGTATATGAATGAGTATGCACGAATGTACATGTCTCTTGTGGTCGTTTGTGAATATCAAACAACAACTGAAACTTCTCTTTGAAGATATATGTGTATATATAAAGAGTAAATATGTATGTATATTTAGGGTTTATGGCTAAAAGTAATTCGTTTTGATCGCATCACTCAAAATTGTCCAGTAATATGTTGTTTTAGTGGTTGGTTGTGCAGAAAAAAAAAAATCAAATGTGGACTGAGGTTTAGTGATGATAACGAACTATATAATAGAATCACTCTGAATTTTCATTTTCAAAATCTGAGAAATGAGATACAGCTAGTGTGTGTAGTAGAATAACAACAATGAATCAGCTTCACGAGGTTTTCTTAGCATCAAAACCTAATAAAATCTAATATTAAAACTAACACAAACTTTTGAAACAGAATGTAAAAAGGTTTACTCCACTGGCTCAGTTATTATTCTTCAATGTCACAGAGATCGGACTCCTAACTCGCTGCATCAGATTCCGAGAGTTGACCCAAGTCAATTGTCCCTGTGTGAAGGTAGCCACCCCTTTTCCTCTGTTTCTCTTCTTCAATACAAACCATACTCGATAACTCAGCGTTTGATCTGCGTGGTTAAACACAAGTCTTTTTGGTTTTACAATCACGTTGATCCCCTCAGGAGCCTTGACATTCACCGAGTATATCGAATTAGGGCTTCCAACGTTAGTCACACGTCTTGTGATCATCTCCGTTGTCTTGCCACGTTTGAAAATCACTGAGATGGACGGGTAATTGAGGGTAAAACCAGGATTTCTTCGCAATATTCCGCTGCAGCTGATGTTCTTATGAGTGATAGCTAAAATGTCTGATCTTGTGAAACCTAACGTGCAGAGGTAAGTAATGTAGTCCACCGGTTGAATGTTGTAAACCAATCCCGGGTTTATCGCCTTTCGCGGATTTACATGCCCTGCTCCGATGGCAAACACGCCAGCTGGTTTGTTACCGTCCTTTATCGCTTTGCCTTGACGATCATACAAATCCGCTGTTGTCATCAATGCAGACTTGATTGCAGCGGGAGACCAATTCGGGTATGTTGAGCGGATAAGAGCAGTGATTCCGCTAACATGTGGACAGGACATTGAAGTTCCTGACATCACAGTGAAGTTAACTCTTCTGGAGTCATAAGGAAGTCCAGTTGGTCCTAGATTTTGAGGCCAAGCCGCGATGATATTGACTCCTGGAGCAATCATATCCGGTTTTAGTATAGAAGGATTGGCTAAACTCGGTCCTCGAGCTGAAAACTGAGCCACTTCCGGTGCTCTTGACCGCCCAATCACCGTCCCACCAAAAATTATCCGTGCCTTTGGTTTCACCGTGGCATTAACATAAGCTTTCAGAAGAACCGACTCGGCGTAACCGATCAATGTAGCTGGTAAGAGATGAACGTCGATAGAATCCTCTTCTTGGTTGATCTCTGTGTTGGCTAAGATCATTGCAACTCCACCTGCTTCTTTAATGGCTTCTCCTTTCTCTGATCTTCCATTGACACCGCGGTCACAAATCACCATTTTGCCTTGGATAACCTCTCTTGGAAGTGACCCTCTCAAGCAGAACTCACTTCCTCTATCTCCTCCCGTGACGTAAATCACCTCGACCTCTCTCTCGGCATTCTTTAAACCTTTTCCTGGATACAATGACTCTCCATAGAGAAGCTTTCCGTTGGCTAATCTGACCACAGCAGGAAATTTTCTATCAACCGTGCCTGCACCGATGGTTGAAACCCAAGGAGCTGTGTTCGCAACCGAGCTGTCTATTGGACCATTATTACCAGCTGCACAGATTACGGATATACCACGTTCCATGGCTCGGAAGGTTCCAATGGCAATTGTATCATCATACAAAGGAATAGGGAAACCGCCAAGGGAGAGTGAAAGGACATCGACTTTATCTTGAATCGCTACATCTATAGCTGCTAGAATGTCAGAGCTGTAACAACCATTGAACCAACAAACTTTATAGACTGCAATGTGAGCTCCAGGTGCCATCCCACGAGCCACACCAGCCCCATTTCCAAGAACACTTGCCATCGAAACAGAGGATCCACCAACTGTTGAAGCCGTGTGAGTCCCATGTCCGGTTGAATCCCTTGCGGAGATGTATTCACGAGGCATGTTTGGGGAGTCCTCTGGTGAGTTAGCGACACGGTGTCCTCTGATGAAGAATCTAGCACCGATTAGCTTCCGGTTACAGCTCGAGGAACTGAAATTCTCTCCTTCTTGGCAAATCCCTTTCCATTTCCGTGGAACCGAAGGCATTCCGGTATCGTCAAAGCTAGGACTTTCAGGCCAAACTCCTGTATCAAGCACGCCGACAATCGTGCCTTGACCAAACCGAGATTTAGACCATACACCGGAGTTTCCAAGACCGTCAAGTCCCAAGAACTTGTAAGAGTAAGTGGTTTGAACGTGGAGAACATGGTCAGGTCTCACTGCAACAACTTCAGGTGAATATCTCAGCATCTCGGCTTCTGATACAGTTAACTGAGCAGCAAATCCTTCTATGGCAGAGCCATAGGAGTATAGAAGTCGTGAAGAAGGCTCTTCTTCTTCTTCTTCTTCAACACCCAAAACCGCTTCTTGGAGGAAAGAAAGATGCCAATCAAACTTTGAGGCAAAGGTTTTAGCCGTTTCGGTGTTAGGATGAAGCTGAACAATGTAAGTCTGTTTCTGTAGGATCTTTGAGGATGAGAAAGAAGAACAGAAGAGAAGGAAGGTAATGCAGAGTAAGAAAGTTTTGGTTTCCATTGCAGCGCAGGGAGCTGAAGAAAAGGAGTTGGTTTATTGTTGCTGAAGAAGTGCATGGTCTTGGAGAAGAAGAAACGGGTATTTAAAGAAGAGTGAAGAGAATTCAAAACCTGGGATTCGGAGTCTAAGGAAGAAGATGATGAAGCTCGTGAAGAGTAAGAGCTCTGCATCACGAGGATCCTTTGTATGTTGCAGAGAGGTAGGAGCTTCTTCTCTTTTTGTTTTTTTTGTTGTTTCAAAGCTCAAGACATGAACTATTAAGTGAAGCTGTTAAGGTTTTTCACTTGTAAGGCTTTTTTGTCTGCCTTGTCTCTGTGTCTATTTGTTTCTTGCTCACGAGATGTTATGGTTAGATTTTATTGCGTATACTATTAGTTTGTACAGTAGATATATAGCCTCTTGGTGAAACAAAAGATTTTGAACTTTATTTGGTTTCCGTTGAAATTTTACTGAATTAATGAGCTATTTTATATACGGTACTAGTCAATAAATCAACGATTGGGCAATGTATTTTAAATATTTTTTGATTACTTTGTCGTAGCCTTGAATTAAAAAATACGACCGTTGAAAGAAAATTAAATGCAGCAGCGTGGTGTTCACTACGTGCGCATTTATACACGCACGCTCCACACGCCTCGTATTTTCTCATCGGGTACTACGTTACAATACGAAGTCGTGGTTGTTATATTGCTATTGGGCTTCATACGTCACTCATAAGCCCAATACAGAATTAGTTATGTGTATACATACATCTTGGATGTCTTAGTAGTACAAGTCTAGTCTCTCTTCTAGCTTTTCTCTGTTTCTTTGCAGATTATTGATAACATCAAAACCACATAGACTAACTGTTCCGTACAAAACAGGTTTCTCCCAATGTTGAAAAGATGAGATTTAAACCCAAAGTTTATAAGCGTGAAGATTTTTGCATCATTTCAAGCTTCTATCTTTTTACCCTGTGGAAAACCCTCCCTTACTTACACCTTACGCTTTTGTCCCATTTCAGTTCTGTTATATCCTCTTGAGAAAGAGAAACGCACCTAAACTGAATTTCTTTAACCTGGGTGATCAAAAATCCGAGATTCCAGTAGATCTTGATGAGTATTCTGTTACCAATTTCAGGAACATTGATGATTTGTCTTCTAATAGCCTCGCAGGAGTATCAAACTCGGCTACTCTACCTGCAACACAAACCGTAACACAACACTGAATTCTCCCCCCTCCCAAAACAAAACAAAGGTAATATGAAGATAAAATGTTCAATGTTTTTGATTTGTATATGAATTACCGTCGCTAAGAACCAAAACAAGGTCACTGTCGATAACAGTTGGGATCCGGTGAGCAATGGTGCAGACCGTGCAGTCTTCGAACTCTGTTCTGATTATCTTCTGGATCAGATTGTCTGTTGCTGTATCAACTGATGCTGTTGCTTCATCAAGCACAAGTATTTTCGCTTGTTTTAGTAATGCTCGTCCAAGTGACACAAGCTGTCTCTGCCCAACACTCCAGTTATCTCCATTTTCCAGCACTATTTGATTTATGTTTCGAGACAACAACCAAAAAAAAAATCAGTAGATAGAAGCGGAAAGAGTGGAATTGTTTTTAAAAAGGACTTCTTGGTGCAATTTATTACCAGGAGAGTCAAGTTTTAGGTCTTTCCCTCTAACAACGTCTCCAAGCTGGGATTTGTCAAGCGCCTGTAAGCAAAAAGTTGAGTATCTCTAGAAACAAATTCTAATTCCCAGGAGTTAACATCTGAAGCAGAAACAAGACAGGGTACGAAACAGTATAGAATATATTAATATATTACCTCCCAGATTTTATCATCTGAATGTTCTTCGAGCGGGTCAAGATTCGCTCGGATTGTTCCTTCAAATAATGTAGGATCTTGAGGTATAATACCAAGGCGACTACGGAGATCATGAAGACCAATTTGAGAAATATCAATGTTGTCTATAGTGATTCTTCCAGCAGTTGGCTCAATCAACCGAAACAGAGCTTGAATCAAAGTCGACTTTCCGCTTCCCGTTCGCCCAACGATTCCAATCTTTTTTCCACCCGGAAACACACAGCTTACTCCATGGAGAACTGTTGGGAGATTCTCAGCATAACGAACCTTCAAAAGGAACAAAGCAATAAGAAAACAGAGAAAGAAAGTGCAGAGAGGTAATATAATAAATATTTTTGAATAGTACCTTAACATCAAGTAGCTCGATTGTTCCCGTTTCAGGCCACGAGGAAGGCGGGCGGAAATCTTCGATAATTGCTGGGGATTCTCCTAAAATCTGACTATACTGATAAATCCTTTCAATTGAGATAATTTTGTTTTCAAGCTTACAAAAGCTAAGTATCCATCTTGATAGACGTCCATTCAAGTTAAGCCCATATGTCACAGCAAGCCCTGCCATGCCTATTACACAACAGAAACATCACTATTAGGATAACTGGATTCTCGTTGATGCTTTTTTGTTGGAGGAACTAGAGATACTTACTTGGATCAATGGTTCCATGTGGAAAACTGACGAGTAAAACCATACAGAAAGCAAATACAAGTGTGGAAAGTAATTCCATGCGTAAACAAAGCCATTCAATAGCAGCGATACTGCAGAAGAAAGGTCGAACAAAACAATCGAGAAGATAAAGATTCCTTTTGATAAATCTCTTTTCCTGGCCAAATCCTCTTATTGTGGCAGCACCAGCAATTGATTCTCCAAAAAGGTGAATTATTGGAGACTTCTGGATACTAACAATCCGAACCAATTCTCTTGAAGATGCCATGTAATATTTCTGCATTTGATTTCAATATCAGTTAAATTATAAATTAAAAAAATCTTTCAGAGTTACTCAAGGGGAAGAAAATAGATTTACCTGCATCCAAAAGCAAGCAACCGCTACTGGAACAACAAGAAGGAAAACTTGCCAGGTAACATTGGTCATTACAGCGACAATCCCAAAGAGTTGTATCGTTGTTGAAGCAAACCCACCGAGTCTAAAAGGAATGTCAAGATCCACAACACTTTGGTCAATAGAAACCTGAACACCAATAACATTCCCAAAATCAGAAAACTAATACAGAAACTGTGGATTTTAATGGTGATAACACATCTACATACCCGATTCAAAATTCTTCCTGCAGGAGTGGAATCAAAGAATGACATCGGAGCTCGGAACACACTTCTGAGCATATTCAAGAACAGTTTCTGTGCAGCTGCTAGACCAAAAGTTGCAACCAGAGCAGCTCGTACAAAAATGAACACAGAGCTCCCAAAAGCTAAAGCTGTATAAACGATGAGAAGCAGTGTGGGATCGACTTTAGACTCGTCACCTTCAGTTTGAGGATTCGCCCAAGCCATCCACCAGTTACTAGCAATCTGAAGAAATTGGAAAGACGCCTGTGCGAGTATAATTAGAGGAATCAGAAGCCCTTTATATGCTGCACCCATATATGACAAGTACACCTTCATGCTGACTTTTCCCTTTACTCTTTCCTCTTCTTGGACAAGCTGTTTTTTGCGGGAACGCTTTGCTTTCTTCTTCTTCTCTTTGATTGCTTTTAAATCTGAAGAAGATCCACCATCTTGTAATTCCTTTGCCAAAGTCTCGATGTCATTTTCAAAAACATCCGACTTTGGATTATGCAAGACCAAACTATCGAGGATTGGATTTTCATCAGAGTCTTCTGAGGAGGGACTTGGGATGTCCATGGCCTCAATTGCTTCGTGGTGGGCAGACACTAAGGCCTTAAAATCAGTACCTGCTTGCAGCAGATCATCATATTTACCCGATTGAATAATCCTGCCTTCCTTCAGAACCTTTGAAACAACACAAATAAAGAAAATTCAGAGGTTGTCATAACAATAATAGTTAGAATACTCCTTCAACAGTTTTACCTTTCTGCAACAATAGAGACAAGTTCATCACAGCTGGTAAGCTAAACACCTATAAGAGACCCTTTAGCATTTCTAAAAGGACCAACAGTAGCCAAAATAAATGCATAGTAAAACCAAGAAAATGAGTTTCTTACCAATATTAGATCAGCAGCAGGAAGAAATTCAACTTGATGCGTCACAAAAACAATAGTTTTCTCAGCCAATGCAGACAGAATATAGTCCTGTACAACCAATAATTACAACGTTAAACAAACATCCAGACTCAAAATATGAAAATGTGATTTGAGGTTGTAGGATTGCTTCTTACCCTAAACAAATCAGAGCCAGTGTGTGCATCAAGAGCACTAAAAGGGTCATCTAGTAAATAAATGTCAGCATCTTGATATAATGCTCTGGCAAGTTGTACGCGCTGTTTCTGGCCTCCGCTGAGATTTATACCTCTCTCTCCGATAATAGTTTGGTCCCCATGTGAGAAAAGCTCTAAATCTTTCTTCAGGGAACATGCTTGTATCACATTCTTGTACTTTGCTTTCTCCATCGGACTGCCAAATAGAATGTTTTCTTCAATGTTACCAGACTGAATCCAAGCCGATTGAGACACATAACCAGTAGTACCACATATTCTAACCTATATAACAATATATCAGCAGGTGATCAATGATAATTCAGAGAATATTAAAATGCAAGTGGAGCAATTGAGACTAAGCACCACAAAACATTAACTTACTTCACCAGAGATTTTCGGGATTTCCCCGAGGATACAAGAGATAAAACTTGACTTTCCAGAGCCAACTGTGCCACAGACAGCCACACGCATACCCTTCTCCACTTTCATCTGAATCCCAGATAATGTCGGTCTTGAAGAAAAAGGGTCCCAACAAAACACACCATCTTTAATCTCTATGGCTATATTTGAAAGTCCGCGTGGTATAACAATAGTTGCATCTTCCTGTAGCTCTTCCTCCTGCAAGAATCCGGAAATCCTATCAAGAGAAACCTTTGTCTGAGCCATCATTGATACCAGATCAGGAAAGTTCCTAAGTGGCTCCTGAAGAATTCTGAATGTCGCCAAAGCAGAAAGAACACCTCCAGCTGTAAGTTGAGTGCCTAGGAATATCGAAGTAGCAAATGTAACTGCGGCTACAAAGATTGGGGAACTCCAAAAGATAAAAGTAACAAAAGCCTGTGAATATAAGGCTTTGCGAAGCCAACCATACTCCTCTTCCCTCATTTCTTCCAATCTCACTCTATAACGATCTTCCCATGCCTGCAATTTCAGAACTCTCATGTTCCTAAGACACTCTGACGTTTTCCTCATTCTTTCGTCTTTTGCAGTCATCAATTTATCTTGATAGTCTTCCTGGACCTTAGCCAATGGGATCGTGACAAGAATCGAGATTATCGTAGCAACCAATGTAGCTACAGAAGCTATGCCCACGCTTTTATATAAAATTGCAAGAGCAAGAACTATTTGCATCGGAAGCATCCAAATATCATGAAGATACCATGAGTAATCTCCTATCCGCTGGACATCGACTGCCATGTAGTTTACAATTTCACCGCTCG